ATATCTGCACACAATTTATACAGCAAAGATGCAGCCCAGACATTTCTTACTGCATGCCATTTTTGGCAGAAGCACCGCAAACTGCAGGCAGTTGTATATAGAGTTACTCTCGTCTAGAGAGTATGATATAATTTGCCGTATATTAAATTTCGATCGCTATGCGGCCTTTTACGGGCACCGCCTGTGTGTGTGTGTTTACATGCGCAGCATTAGAGATCGCACAGACAGCATAAATGGAGCAGAAGTAAAGATCGCGAGATACAAAGGGGGCTTGTGGCTCTGTTAAGAGCTCGAGAGAAAGAGGCACCACATTCCTCTTGTGCAACATTCACGCTGACAGAGTTTCCCCCCTTGTCCTTAGGCGCAGCCTATTCAGCGACGCAATTCGCAGGACGCGTTCCCAGGCACAAATCAAAATGCGGTAACTTTACAAAAAAAATGATTGCTAAGGGTGGGAAAAGGTGGCAAGCCAGAAAGCCCGTGAAATGGATTCGCGGTCATGGCTAACGCTCAAAGTGGCGCTTGTTATCTAAACTATGGGGCCGTCAATAAATGACGTCACGCACCTGGGGGGGGGGGGGTGTCAGACATTTGTGACGAGGGGGGGCGGGGTTTGAGAAATGTGACGTCACATCAAAATGCGCACCTTTAAATAAATATAGACAACACGTTCTACTTAATGAAATAGACTTTTTAATAAATGTTTTCTCCTACAACATCAGAGTGCAGCCCCACATTAAATACGCACTACAATGTCAATAGTTTAAAGCGATTTGAGACATGTTTTATAAATATATATATTTTTTGGGGGGGGGCAGAGTTTTGTGACGTCATATTTGAGGGGGAGGGTTCTGACTCTTTTTGTGACTATTCTAGATTTAAAGCTTTCGTGACTGCTAGGATCCATACTCTTTGGTTCTATTGGGTAAAGTCACGTAGGTAAAAAATAAAATAACAAAAATCACGACGTTTCGGCCACAACACAAGCGGCCTTCATCAGGTGAAGGGAAGAGACTGTCTGGAGGACAGCGCTGGAGTGAAAAAAGCCACGTTCAGATCACGACCTTTAAGCTGTGTGAGAAGAAACAACGCGCCTTGACAAAGGAATTAGCATATAATTTAGCATTGAAATGGCTCATTGAAATAGCTAAGCTAAAGTATACACATCCGCAGAGGCACCCCTTGACAAAGGAATTAGCATAGAATTTAGCATTGAAATAGCTGAGTGATTAGCTTGTAACTGGTCACATAAATAGCTATGTTAAAGTCAGAGCATATACATTCACCGAGGCACCTAGTACAAATCAAACAGGAGAATTTAGCGAAACACAACCACGCTCAGACCACGGACCTTTAAACTGTGTGCGAGCAAACAAGGTGTCCTGACAAAGAAATTAGCATAAAAATCGGCCAATCAAATGCTATTTTTATGCTAATTTCTTTGTCAGGACACCTTGTTTGCTCGCACACAGTTTAAAGGTCCACGGTCTGAGCGTGGTTGTGTTTCGCTAAATTCTCCTGTTTGATTTGTACTAGGTGCCTCGGTGAATGTATATGCTCTGACTTTAACATAGCTATTTCTGTTACCAGTTACAAGCTAATCACTCAGCTATTTCAATGCTAAATTCTATGCTAATTCCTTTATCAAGGGGTGCCTCTGCGGATGTGTATACTTTAACTTAGCTATTTCAATGAGCCATTTCATGGCTAAATTATATGCTAATTCCTTTGTCAAGGCGCTTTGTTTCTTCTCACACAGCTTAAAGGTCGTGATCTGAGCGTGGCTTTTTTCACTACAGCGCTGTCCTCCAGACAGTCTCGTCCCTTCACCTGATGAAGGCAGCTTGTGTTGTGGCCGAAACGTCGTAATTTTTGTTATTTTATCTTTTTGTGACGCCCTGTGACGAAAGGGGTGGTGGTCAAAAATCGTCCAAAATCGCGTGACGTCATTTACGGACGGCCCCTGGTCCGTATTGCCTCACAGCGCACACTGGATCTGTGTCGTGAATGATGTTCAGACACAACCCCACCCCCCACCCGTGACTGACATGGTGTGTGGTGAGGCATTCACCCACCAGTGGATTGACACAACGTCTGGCTATACGTTAACATATATATAAGATTTAGATCGTACAGTTTATAAGCAAACAACTAATTTCAACAAAACATGCATTGGGCAGAGGGAAGCACATCCGAGAGGAGTTTCAGTTTTATTTATTTTGGTATAGCCCCGTGAGCCATTCGGCTCTTGAATCGGGTGCAACCGCAACAAACAAAAAACAAAAACATTCAACAACAAAACATTTTAAAGTGACTGTGTGACTGTGACTGTGCAAACAGAAAATCCATGGGAAAAAAACTGCAAAATATTCCAGAAAAAGCACCGTACACCGACGCTGTGTGCAAAAAAATCCCAGTGGGATGCAAGTCAAACAACAACAACAACCACCACAAGACAACTTAGATTAAGGCCATCAGTCTAACTCCGTACTACAACCAACAAACATGGCCAAACCAAAAAAAAACGTTTTCGAAATCACCAAAATAAAGCCATAAAAGCAATGTAACAGTGATCATAGGAACTGTGACCGAATTTTCACAATAAACGATGAGACAAGAAAATAATAATAATAATAATGTATTGCATTGCAAATCAACGACAAAGGAATAGAGAGAGAGAGAGAGCGGCTCACGATCGATGCCACAAGCCGATAAACGCACACCGCTGTCGCGAACCTTTTGAAGACTTGTATCATTACAGGATGTCCGACCCATTGACCTCTGTCTCTCTCTCTCTCTCCCTTCTCCAACACGGGACCCCCCCCCCGCCACCCCCAGCTGTCCTCGTTGCACCTCCACCCCCCACACGCGACTTGTCCACGGCTGCCGTGAGCTCGCAAGAAGCCCACGCATGGAGGAGGGTTGCGCTGCATTCCCCTCCGACGGAGCCTGCGGTAATGGGTTCATACTTCTTCTGCCTCCACGTGCCCAACGATCCACGACGTTCCATTGCTTCCCGCGGGAGGACCGCTCGAAATGGCACGGCCGAAGGGGTCCTACACTCGAAACCGGGAGCCATCGAAAGTTACCCACCTCGTCAGCCAAAACACACGTGCTTTATAATGTTTAAACAATGGATATTAGTACGTCAATGTACTAGCGACATACATGCATGATATTAATAGAAACATGGTTATTGAATGCATTAATTGATAGTGACTGTATCTACACGGTAAGCGAACACATTGGGCCCTGTGGAGGTACGTCGTAAGGCGATTAGTTGTTCACAGGGGTGGTCGTTAAGAGGGGTTCTACTATACACTACAATATACACTACACTATACACTACTATACACTACACTACTATACACTACACTACTATATACTACACTATTATATACCACTACTATACACTACACTACTATATACCACTACTATACACTACACTGCTATACACTACACTATACATTACACTACTATACACTACACTACTATACACTACACTACTATACACTACACTATACACTACACATTTGGCTCAGTGAAGGCCCGTTGATAAGCGATTAATCGTTAAGATGGGTTCTACTCTACAGCGGTGTTTCTACACTAATTTTCAGAGAGGGGGGCATTTTTGCCGATAAGACATCATCAGTGTGAGAGCCTCCACACATTTGAAACCATTGGGGGTTTGACAGCACGATGATGATGTTGGGGGGGGGGGGGTGTTTTCACATGTTGTGCCACACGTCAGGGGCCGCACTAAAGGCCACCAGGAGGCGCTTGTGGACCGCGGGCCTTGCATCGACAAACTCTGCGCTGCAGGGTATTTGTACGATTAAAGTTAGGCAGTGTTGCCAAGTGACGAAAGTGGAAAGTTACCAAACGAACCTCAAAAAAGTCACATCTCTCACAAGACAATTTACCAAGTATTACACACCTGGAATTGCTCTTAAATATCCGTAATCTGTCCCTCATCGCTTTGATAACATTTTCGATGCTTGGAACCCCCCCCCAAAACATCGCTGGATACAGTAACAAAATTGCAAAGTTGGCAACACTGAGAAGGGCTTCAATTTTTTTAAAATATTTTGCTTCGCCATCCAATGCAATCATCTGTTCTTTATTTTTTATTGTGCTGAATGTCGAGTCACATACATTCTGTGCACGTATCTCAAGACTAGGAATCTATTTTAAGCCATTCATCAATACGTTCCTACTTCTAATCCATGTCATGCCCTATTATTTGAATGTCTCAGAAAAGTACCTGCCACAGAACTGCCAGTGTTGGAATTAAAAATATGTATTCTTATACCTGCGATCTTAACATATCATCTGCTTGGAGACAACTTCAAACCTCTACAACAAGGTAATTGACAAGATAATTGACGAGGCATGCGCAATGTGAAATACAACTAATGTTTTACTTGGCCTTGAGAGCTGCTGAGGATGTCGTAAAAATAATAATGAATCAAACATGAATTAACTCAACAGTTCCCAGTTTCTCCAGGGCCTATATTGAAAACTATTTTTTTCCCAGTTTCCCCCGGGCCAAGATTGAAAACTAATTTCTTTACAACTGTTTTTGGGTTTAGTTTATTGTCCTTCCCCCGCACCTTCGATAAACACTGTTCGCTACGTACGGTGCGAATGAAGTTCAACATACACGCACACATTTCAAGCTCAAATTCTAAATGTAGTATAGAGCTCTCTTCTCTGTCCTAAAGAAGGGCCATTGTTGAAAACATCAGGATACGATACATGCATGCTTCTTTTGTAAGACAATGTTAAAGACAAATGTTGCGAGTTTTCTTTAAAGTTAAATATTCATTCAGAATCTATATAATAATTAACATTTATTTTGCATCTAAATATAGAAGCATCTTAAGGTACTGTACAGAGCAACCCACACATGCACATACTCAAAATCCAAAGATTAAATAAATGCAAAAAAAAACAAGGAAAAAGATGGCTAAACGAAACAATGTTTGGGGAATGTTGCAGTGGCGTAGTGTGGTTGGCATGGGCCTCAGTGCAAGGTTATGAAATGGGGCTCCCTATCCAATCCCCTCCCCCCCCACCTCTTCATAGTGCAGTGTATGGGCACATCTGGCCCATGGGCCCAGTGCAGCTTCACCGCCTGTACACTCGATAGCCACGCTGCTGACAGATTGAGCAGCAATGTTACACGTGGCACCCCGGCCATCACAGCCACTATAACCCGCCACACACACTTAATGAGATAAATGCTTGTTAATCGTGATCACTACCATGTGTTATAAAGCATGGGGCCATGGTGTAATTGTTCGCCCACTGGACTTGCAAAGCAGAGGTCGCGCAGTTTGATTTGATGTCCTGGCGCAGCAGTTGAAACGTGGTGCAAGTTTCTGAAATGCCCCCGCCTGAGTGAACCCGAATAGTATAAATAGGAACACCAAAGTTGGTCGACTGGCAGGCGCGTGCGGTGGGGTAAAGTGCGGGTACTCCAGTCTCTTACAAAACGTCTGCTCAGCGCGGAAGAGTTCGCCAAACTACCGTTCTGAATGTGCTCTCTGGAGCTTCTTCCAGAAGGGGTCCTTCTGCCAGCAGTGGCAAAAGGCAAAACACTTGCAGGGTTGCACCCTTGACCCGCCAGGTATTATGATATTGTGCTCACGCTGAGGTCTGTCTCGCCAGGACGGGAGAGCCCATGGAAAAGATCCCAAGGGGAGGAGGAGGAGGAGGAGGAGGCATGCAACACTACTCAGCCATCTGTGCTGCAAAGGGCACTGCTCGCTTTCCAGTTTGCCAGCCTGCTGCTCTGCGCGGTGTCCCTGGGACTTCTCTACCGTGTCCGAAACAACGCGGTAACGCGTTTAACGTTCGGGTTGTGCGCGCGCCCGAAATGGTTGGATGTCGATATGGAAAAAAGGTGTCGAGTCAGCCTTTTAGTTGAGTTGCAGAGTGCGCTGAAAAAATGGCAGTGTAGGAAAAGTAGCTGCTACACGGGGTGATCCAGATATCTTGTGACCGCCCATTTAATCCTCTAAAACTTATTTTTTTCTTCAAGTGAAGTTTATCTAAAACAGAAATGAGTATGCAAAGAATAAAAAAAAATATGTTAGGGGTCAATTAATTGGGATACACAAGACATCTGGAACAGCCTGTACATTGCGTTGTTGTCAACATAACAACTCGCAAGTTGAAAACAAATATTTTGATGTAGGTGGTGGATTGTTCATATTAATCTGTTAGCAACCCTTCAAAATGTTTGATTTTACATCATAAAAGATATATAGAAAATGAAATTGCTATAGTTTGATTTCTGCTTTATATCTTATATGTAACCAATTTGTACATTCACATAAATAATTATTTTATGAATGCTGCTTTACTTTACTACTTTCAGATGATTAATTCCGTTGGTTGGATGAATCTGGAAACAATGCTACTGGGATCCATTTTTATTTATTTCTCGGTAAGTGCATCGTCGGAAATTAGGTTATTACAGTAAAATAATATAATTGTATAACATCACACCAAGAAAATCGAAAGTATTTTTTTTTAGTCTACTTGCTATGTTTATATTGAAGTCTAAAAATGAATTATACAACAGAGAAAGGAAGGTGTTGTATCTTGACTCAAAGCTTTCGTGACTGCAGGAATTCATATTCTTTGGGTCTTTCGGTAAAGTCACGTAAATAGGTTCAAAGAAAATAACAAAAAAATAACAAAACGACGTCCTGATGACGATGGCTTGTGTTGTGATCGAAACGTAGTAGTTTTTTGTTATTTTCTTTGAACCTATCTACGTGACTTTACCGAAAGACCCAAATAATAAGGTGTTGTACATGTCATATAATGGACAACCCAATTAATATCACCATAATTGTGTAATCAATGTAATTTGTCCATTAGTTAGTGAGTCACAGCACCTGAGTGTTTTTTTTTTTTTATCACAGTCAGGGGCCCATTTAGACCAGAAGGCACAAAGGCCATGTGGTACCCATGATGAGATATATATATAAAACCTATGAACTTTTATCCAAATAAAAAAAAACTCATCGCGATGAGTTAAGGCGCAGATTGGTAGGCATAACACCAAAACTTTATTTTTTAAAAGTGATTGGGTGGTGGAGGCCAAAGCCTAACGAGGCTTCAGGTCACTCATGCTATATGCAGTTTTGTTAAATATTGTAGTGAAGGGGGGAATCAACTTAGACCATAGGACAGGCTCGAACCGGCTTGTGTTTAAATAACTCTTGATCAAACACTTTGTCCCTTCTATCCTATCATAACTGCACAAAAGCAGCATATTTTAAGACACAATTGATATACCTCCCACGAAGATATACGGTAACCAGCCTAACCAATACTCATTGTTAACATCTGCTGAAACGCAGGTCCTATACATGCACCTGGTGCCAAACGCTTGGTGCGGGTCGGCACTGATCCACTGGGTGCGTTTTTTTGGGTTCCTCGCTCTGTATGGGCCTGCCGTGCTCCACCTGTGCAGGTGTGTAGATGCGTGCGTGGGTTGTTCAACTTCTTTCGCACCATACGTAGCCAACCGTGCTAATCGAAGGTGGAAGGACAAGTATTAACAAAGTACTGTATTGCAAATACTATGCACGATAGTTGTGTTGTTATGCCTAAGTGTTCGTGTCAATCTGGGTTCGACTCCGGACCATGGGGAAATAACATGAGGGGAAAGTGATGACGACACCTAACCCTGGGTCTCACTTAGGTCTCACTTAGGTCTACTCATCCATAAACGGGTACCACAGCGAGAGTATAGATCGACCCAGATTCAAATGAGTACCTGCTAGGCTACTCGGCATTCACAGTACAGTTGTCTGCAACATGCGTGGCGGTCCAGAGCATTTGCGTCATTGCTTATTCGTTACAACTCATGTTCGTTAATGTTATATCGAAATGAAACAAATTATTTAGGAGTGGTGCACAAGCACACTAAACAATAAAAAAACTCGACACCTTGATCGTTAACACTGCCTTAAAAGAAAATAAAATATGTCATAGGGAATCCTTCATGTAATAGCCCTTTATTCACAGCACATAAAATGCGCGATGCTTGTAAATAAAATACACACGTATTTTATTGTTTACCTAAAGATAACTGTTTTAATATTGGAATATCACAGAGTCCTGCCCTGGTTTTAAAATAATGTTACTTCACAATAAATAATGTCATCTTGGTTGAGCATCACAGACACTGCTAGATTCTGAAAACTTTAACTTAGGCCCTCTATGCTAATAATGTCTTTCTCAACAAAGTCGTGCATTTTGAAATGGATTGAACACCTCTACTGATGGGACATCACCATCATAATTAGCCGTGGTCCATCTACTGCTGGCTGAAGCCCTTCAGAAATTGTCACCATTTCTAAGACATAGCAGTACGAGTTTTATTTCCAAAATCTAGTTTAGCAAATTGAGGGAGGTAATTTACCATCACTTTGTGCACGATAATTCTTAAAAACCTCTTCGGCATTATTTTCACGTTATGAAATTGTGAAACATGCTTTATTCATAATGCATAATTCACAGCACGTGGTGCAACATATTATGTTCATCATCCAGAAAGCGTTTGTGCATAATGAATTAGATTAAAGGATGCTATTGTCTTTGAAATAACATTGAGCATATTGTAAACTGTTATTATAAAAGCAAAGTTATCTGCATCATTAATTTCCCCTATCAACGCTATTAAGGCAATGTCATACGTTATATGGGGCACGTGATTGTGTTGCTCTTTGTCAACCCTGACCATAGTTGATTGTGTTCACAGGCTGGTGGTAGCAGATTCCACGGAAAAATGGTGTACTCCTGCGCCAGGCTGCTATGAACTTGGAACCCTTGCCTCGCTTAGTCTACTGTTCTGGCTGTCAGCATCAGTACGGAAAGAAAGCCCGTCGATTGAGGTCAGGCAAATCTTCAACGTGCAATGCCCGCCAGGCTTCGTCAATCACATTATATCCGGTGGTGAGTAGTGGTGGATTTTACATTATAGTATGGTAATGGGAAAACTATTGAGTAATGTCAAGGGGATATGGTAAAAGATCAAGGTGCAGCCTTGCATTTGCTCACTTATGCCACTGCTGTCAGATGGGCCTCCACGAGAGGGAGTTTGAGAGAGCACTTTTAAAGGGTGTTTGGCCTACTTTTCTATGCTGAATAGACATTTGGAAGATGCCTGCAATTTACCACAACTGCATACAACCTGTCTGACGAGTGATGAAGAGAGGCGGGGGATTAAGTAAACTTGCGAAAAGGGTTATGAACAAAGGTAAATCTTTAGAGTAATAATAGCACCAATGATTTACCCAGGAAAGCCTCGGGGAGACTTGTTTTGAGAAGTGGTCCTTGAATTGGGTTGCTTGGCCAGTTCTATCAATAAGTATTTGGCATACGGGAGGAAATTGAAGTACCCACAGAAAAGCCTTGCTTACGAAAGAATAACACGCAAACCTCTGCACAGATGGATAAAAATGCACTTGCCCTACTGCCGCCTTATGGCCATCTCAAAACCCAGCGAGATTGAAAGTTTCACAAATTTGTGTGATCCGTCAACTCTCACATCTGAAGTGCTTTGTTTACAGGTGTGATTAACTTAATTTGAGCACGTGTCTGTAGGATTACAATTTTAAAAAAGAAGGTAGAAAATAAATGTTGACGAGGATATCATTCTAGATTTGAAGTTTTCGTGACTGCAATGATCCACGCTCTTTGGTTCTTTCGGTAAAGTCACGTAGGTAAAAAATTAAGTTAATGAAATCACGACGTTTCGGAGGCAACACAGCAAAGTTACAGCAAAATCACGACGTTTCGGAGGCAACACAGCAAAATTACAGCTAAATTACAGTAATTTTGCTGTAATTTTGCTGTGCTAGTTACACCTGATGACGGAAGCTTGTGTTGCCTCCGAAACGTCGTGATTTGATTAACTTTATTTTCTATTTTTACCTACGTGACTTTACCGAAAGAACCAAAGAGTGAGGATATCATTATTGGCGTGGTATTTAGGGCACTGCACTATGAACCCAGCGATCTGAGTTCGGTTCCCAGCAATGGTTTGACGTCAGTGGTGAGTGATACCCCCATCTCACCCCTGCCCCCCAACCTGCACTGACTGGAGCAAAGTATGGTCAAACAATCTCCATGAATGACAAGGCGTGGTGGGGAGGCCTTCATCCAGCAGTGGATTGATGATGGTTTGCGCGTTATTATTTTCGTTTGTTATATTATCCAAGAGCGAATAATTGGCATGTAATAGGAACGTTTTAAAATTGTACGGGCGTTCAATGAGCATACGGTTAGACTGGTGGACTGACAGATGGGTACACAAATTAGATCATGATGCAGTGTAATCATAGTATAGTGATGTTTTGTAACCACCGTGTATTTCCACACCTCTATATAAAATGTCATGAATTACAGTGCAAACTTTTAGATATCCTAATCCATTCGCCCTGGCACACAAATGCAATTGTTGACGGCGACTTGCGCGGCAAAAATAAACAACAACATTTTTAACATAACCCACAAGACTGCACCACAACAAGATTACATCGTTTAGATCCCTCGGTTAATCTACTGAATAAGATGACGCAAATGCCCCCGCTGTGTCTGCAGTGGAGCTCGCCTGTCTGGTGTGGGGCTTGCGTGTGTGCCACACCGTCTGCAAGGCCACGTCGCCCCCATGCCAAGCCTGGAACATCACGGCTGCCCTTGTCAATGAAGCGGCGTGCTCGTTCCTATTCCATATGTTCTGGTGAGTGCAAACCACGAGTCTCAAGTGCCGCTCTTTGATTGTCACGTCTGTTCCTGTGCAACCAATCAATGCAATGTGTGTTGCCCTCTACAATGAGCAGCTGCTCTACTCCAGGCGTTTATAGTGCAATTGAAGAGCACTTGGTATGCAGGTAGTTTTGTAAAAGTAAGGATAGAAATGTACCTACAGTGGATTGACCATCGGTCATGGTCAATCCACTGCTGGATGAAGGGCTCCCCAAGTCACTACCTATCACGATTCTGCGATGTAACAATCCACCTAGCACCTGCACATGAACTGATTACATCACTTCCGTCTCAGCTGGCATCCTCGCTGATGTGGTCTGTAACATTAAGCAACAAGAGGAACAAAGTCTAGAGCTTAGCTATGCGATAATGTAAGTGATCAATCACTCTACCGATTATCCGTTATATTACTCGACTAATCTGACGATACGAAACCATTTTGTGTGAAAAAATGCCTCAGCTCCCTTCCCACGTGCACTGCGGGATGGAAGTCGAAGCCAGGCAAGTGGGTCTTTGTTAGAGTCTTAGTGATGCTGATAATGTTCATTCATATGCTTCTTGTTCCAGGCGTTTGTTGGCTCCCGCCCTTCACCCAGATTGGATGATTTTAATTGCCTTCTTTTACGAGCACGTCACAGTCACGATCAACTTGGGGCTCCTGCTGATCCCTAAGGTTGGACAAATGAGTAGAAACTCAAATTACCGCAAGACGTAATGTCTCCTTCACATATCTGTCTCGCCACATTAATAATGAACGTTTTTAATAAGCAAACAATCTGCCGCACGGCCTTCTGGTAGTGCATAATTTATTAAGCATTGAATAAAGACAAACAAACTCTGGACCAATTTTGACATGCAGTGTGTCTTATCAGCAAAGTCCGGCTTGCTTGAATCGATGATGCGAACTACAGATCTTACAGGCAAGGACCCTCCCTCTCTTTAGGATATGGGTCCTAGTTCTGTGCAAAATTAGATGATACGTAACTCAAAATAATACTCGTTGTGGAGAATATAAATAAAAAACTAAAATATTTATGTAGAAAGGCAAAACAACCTTGCCAGGCAAACTGGCAGTGAATGCATGTGTACAATGCGCTGTGTTGGGCTTTTGTGTGCTCTTTAAAACATTTTTTTTAAGTACAATGACATGTAAGAAGTAATTGACACACATTCAGATGTGAATACGTAGTATGCATTTTCTATTCTTCAGTATTTGTATTATAATTTATTTTATTGCATGGCTAGCATTAGCGGCAAGTGATATCAGAACCGATCCTGCACCCTCCACCGTCCAAATAAAAAAGAGACATGATGGTTCAATGAGCCACTCTGTCTACAGGAAAGCTACCAATACGGATGCTTACCTAAAACCGTATTCCCACCACCATCCATCCCAGAAGAATTCCCTCATCAAGACTCTACACCATAGAGCCCAATGCATCTCCGACCAGGAACACATTGCCAGTGAACTCAAGCACGTACACCAAGCTCTCAAGGCTAATGGTTACTCCGACTATACAATCCGCAAAGCCATCACTCCAACCATGAAGAAAAACCCTCTTGAGGAGCCATTCAAAACCATCACCTTACCCTACATTGCGGGGGTCACAAAAAAGATCTCCAAAATCTTGAATAAACACAAGATCCAGGTCCGATTCAACACAGTCGTAAAATCCGTGATCTGGTCCTGTCTGTCAAAGATGGGTTTCCAGACATACAGTACCCTGGCGTCTACAAACTAAGTTGCCTCTGTGGTAGCAGTTACATTGGAGAAACCAAACGACATGTCTTGGACCGCATCCGTGAAAACAAAGCAGACCTAAAACACGGTACGACCAACACCTCAGCCGTGGCAGACCACTGTTATAATTCAGTAGGCTCGCATGACATTGACTTTTCCAAGACAGAGATTCTTTGCAAGCCATCTGGCTACCATAAGAGATTCGTTCATGAGGCTATCCACATATACAAACACAGAGACAATTTCAACCGAGAAGATGGATTCTGGCTTAGCAATCATTGGAAGGATTTGATAAACCATTTACCTGCAGTCACGAAAGCTTTAAATCGAAATTTATGCATTTTCTGTGTATATTTCTACGACAGTCTATAATGAAATGTCATGATATATTTACAGCCTTATCCTCTGCTGGATGAAGGCCATGGGGTTTGTTTGACCATACTTCACCATTTTTGAAAGTGCAGGGTGATGTGATCAATGCGGGGCGGTGGAGGGTGCAGGATCGGTTCAGATATCACTTGCCGCTAATGCTAGCCATGCAATAAAATACATTACAATACAAATGCTCATAATTATAGTTAAACAATAAAGTACTCATTTTTATTATTTATTCCGGGTATAACAATGGATTTTTGTTGAAGATTGCATGAATCTGTGTCCTAATATTCTCCCCCCCACCCAAACACCTTCTCCCCCGGAAATTCAAACCTGCCAGTTTGTTGGTGTGGAGCTCCTGCTACCAGACACTGCAGTGGCATGTCAGTTGGAGAGAAATAATGATGTCGGACCTTCTGCAGTCATCGCAAGGGTAGAAACTAAAGCTGCTCACGTCAACTACGTCCAGAGGGTGAGCTCTTGTGCTGGATTTGTCATGCACGATTGTGCACGGCAGTGCAGTGTCACATTCACCTTGATGGAATTAACTGCCCATATAACCAGTGCAGCTTTGTGCGTGTGGTATAACCGTCATTTTTTACAGATCTTCGCAAATCAGACCAATTTCACGTACATTCGTTTACTTCGAGAGCACAGTAAAGGGTGTTTAATACTTAAAGCAGCTTGCACTTTAAATTTGTCCAGTAATCTAATTGTGTATGATGGTGTAACGGTCATTTTTTCTAGATGTTCACATATCAGCCGATACCTCAGTCCCCATTGAGTCAGATATGTGACATTGACAATACCTCTCCCCACTAATTATTGGCCTACTCTTCCACTCTGGCCGAACAATTTGGAAGATATATGAGTTTACCCCCACTGCACACGAATGGCTATAGGGATCACTTGAACCCATTATGAAAATAAAAAAAACACAATCACTGACACATTTGATTTAATGTCTTCGGTTAAGAATCAATATTAACCATTAAAGCTCTAATACTTAAATCCGCACATGCATATCATGGGAAGTGGGTAACTGGAAATATGCAAAAGGAGTCAACATAAAAATCATAGTTCGGATTTTCCATGCAAGAAGCCATGCTCCCAATTAAAGTGATGCTTCAGCAAATGTGTAAGTAGTGCAATAAATGGTGATAAATTTAGTTAAACCCGCTACAAACAACACAGATATGTCATGTGCGATAAATTCGAAAGCATTTCACCGTGCGTGGAATTGTGACGAATGTGACATTCTCAGGCCCATCTAGAGTACCTCAAGCCACCGAGGGCGCTGGCAAATGGGAGTGTACTGAGCACGCCCAAGAACCGCCACCTTCGAAGAGGCCGCACAATTTTCCGGCGTCTCACAAGATGCGCTGATGGGACACCGCGTTCGTTCACCCGGGAGAGCGCTGGTCGTGAGCGATGTTCATCGGCGACTTCTCACATTCACACGGCCCCCTTACTCACGTCAAATAAGAATCCTGTCATGGAAACTCCAAAAAAAAAGATTGAACCTTGCAAGAGGTTCTCCTTTCTAGGGTCACGTGTCAGCACAAATCATGAGCTGCCAGAGCTGAACGGGGAAAAGTTGTTTTCCGGATCGGAAAACAAAATTTGTAACACAGGTTGGTTTATTCCGGTACCCAAGGATGTGCCATCGCGTGCATTGCAGGGAAGTCCTCCTGTCTGTCGCACTGCTACAAGTCACAGCTTATCACAAGAGCCCTCTTTGTGTCATTATTTTAAGCCAATTATAAAGCAGAAGTCCCTTAGTTTAATGGACTGTGCCCAGGAAAAGGCATCGACAGATCATAAAAAGGCAAGCATGGATATTGGGAGTAGAGGTGTAGGACCAAATTACTTTGAGGGACCACAGAGAGGCACCACTTCGAACCAGTGGAAGACATCTAGCCTGCCAAAGCTGAACAAACGCTGCTGGAAAAAAGAGCACAAATATTCGTTTGAAAATAGCACCGCTTGTGAACCTGTGACCTCTTATGAAATGAAGCAGAACTCGTGTCGTGCAGTTTGCAACCGTGAAGAGATCTGTCCCTGGGAATTTCAAGAGTTACCTTCTTCTAAAAGTGCAATGAGCAAAAAGACTCCTGTGAAGATTAACCTATCCATAGGTTCCACAAAGCTGAGCAGCTTGGATGGATTCCAGTTTGCAGGGAAGTTATTCAAAGCCATGAGGCCAAAGAATGCTGAAGGTCAACCTAACTCTCCTGGTGAGGCTGGAGGAAGTAAGAGCTGGCCCACATCAGAGCCGCAGAGTGGCTCGTCATCTCCAGCTGGGAGAAGAGATTTGAAGCCATTTGGGGGTGAGATTACTGCACAGATGGAAGAAACAACCCCTGCAAGTGGCCCCACGGAGGCTTCTCGATTTTATACACATGATGGGGCTGAACACCCTATTCAAGATGCAGAAACAAATAACCTGTTAAAATTGGACACGTTGCAAACACGGGACACGGAATTAAAAAAATATTGTACATCTGCATCAAAAAGAAGCGCAGAGACTGCGACAAACGCTGGTTCAAGTTGGAAATTACCAAACACGGTATTTTATTTACAAGAGCCACATTTGGAGGAAATGGTTGAAATATTTCCATGGAATTTAGAGAATGTACAAGCAGAAATAAACAAAAATGAGTCACCTGACTGGAAGCACACTGAAACTAAAGTTGGCATTAAATTAGAAACAGGAGATACAAAAAACAAAGTCCCCTGTAGCCATGACCATGTGGAGGAGGCTAATCTGAATGAAAGATGTGCCTGGGAAATGGACAGTGATCAAGAATTAACAAACAAGCTATCACATGCCTGCAAAATGGAATGTTTTGATGTAACAGCGGACTGTATATCAAAGCAGAGGCCCTTGGGATGGCCCGTAGGGTCTGATGGAAAACATGAGCTAGTGAACAACACTGATGTCTACCCATCTGGAGTTGACCTTACACTGACAGAAAATGCAGGCGTATCAATGAGTGAGACAATGATGGCAAACCAATCTGCATTTGGAAATGACCCATCACAACAAACTGGTTCGGAGATTTCACTGCGGCAACATGTGGACACGCATTTTGGGAAGAAGGAAATAGAGGACATCTCCCTAGTTAGCATAAAAGATAATATTCAAATACATGCAGAGGATGTGTCTTCATCAGAGCCAATGGCTAGAGTTTCCCCTCCATCTGGTCATTCATCAAAGACAGTAACATTCAGAGATCCACCTGCCTTAACACCACCTTGTGAGAAAAAAAAGTCTGATAAGTGTGATGTAAAATGCTACGGAGTTACCATCAGAGACTTTGTTTCTTCAGGCAGAAAAAAGAGATAATTGCACACGTGTTGCTTCGTCTGGCAATCACGTTGATCATCAGTCTGTGTCTATACCACTGCTGGATGAAGGTACCTCCATGCCATTGCCATCCCTCGTGGTGCTGCTAGTGGGTAGGGAAGGATAAACGAATGATCTAGTCAGGAAATCCAGAGATTGCATCAAATGTTAACCATAATGTGTAAGAAAATAATGAAGACAAAATAAAACAGAACAAGAGGATCCGAAGTATTCTGCATTCAAAATATGCCTCGAAGTTTTAGTTTTGGTGTATTCATATTAAGTATGTTTTACAGCACTATTTTCAACAATGTAATGAAGTCTGGATAATGCCAGGTGATACGTATGTTGGTATGACCAAAACATGTGCAAATTGTAATCACGTATTGTGTTCTATACCTATGTATGTGCTTATAATGGAGTTGTTTGTTAATAGTATATTAAAAAGAAAATAGCATTGTATACTGGGTTTCCAACTATAATTAAAAGCAATAACTCGGTTCATTCAATTGAAAGTGTGTTCATAGAACTTGATCAGTTGCCAAAACAGTATTGTCTCACTCTTTCCTGCAGTCACGAAAGCTTCGAATCTAGTATTGTGTCTCTTTCACCACCCACAACTGGCACTCTGTGGTTGATGGTGAGTAATGCATTTTTATAACTATAATTGATTGATCGTAACTGTATGTAAATTGATAGTAATTCGTCACGTGTAGCTTATTTTGAGCTAAAATATATTCATTACATGTAGGTCCCAACATTTTTTTTGGAAAAACACAATGGACGTATCAAGGTCCAGAGAGAAAAATGTGGGGAAGGGTCCCTGAGTCTAGCTTAAGCCCCCCCCCATGCTCGTCCTGGTAAGACCTGGACGTATTCATTTTATCCAGACCATAAGTAGAATACTCTTTGGTTCTTTCCCAAAGAGTATGGATCCCTGTAGTCACGAAAACTTCAAATATAGATCATAAGAATATATATTATTGGTTCTTTCGGTAAAGTCACGTAGAAGGGAAACAATAAAACAATAAAAAAGATATATATAAAATTCTCACGACGTTTCGACTGCAACACAAGCAATCATCATCAGGTGTGAAAACCACAGCAAGCAATTTTTGAAAAAAGTGGCGGTTTTTTTAACGTTAGCACCACGGAGAACGATTTGGCAGTTATTCAGATGGACGAGTCCATCTATGTTCGGAAAAGAGGAGGGGGGAGACGAAAATAATGGATGCGGTCTGAAAGCCACCGTAAGCGTGAAAAATCAATTAAGACCCGAAATGGTTTATCAAATCCTTACAATGATTGCTAAGTCAGAATCCATCTTCTCGGTTGAAATTGTCTGTTTGTATATGTGGAGAGCCTCATGAACGAATCTCTCATGGTAGCCAGATGGCTTGCAGAGAACCTCTGTCTTGGAGAAGTCAATGTCATGTGAGCCTACTGAATTATAACAGTGATCTGCCACGGCCGAGGTGTTGGTCCTACCGTGTTTTAGGTCTGCTTTGTGTTCACAGATGCGGTCCGAGACATGGCGTTTGGTTTCTTCAATGTAACTACTACCACAGAGGCAACTTAGTTTGTAGATGCCAAGGTACTGTATATCCGGAATCACATCTTTTAAAGACGGAACCAGATCACGGATTTTCTGTAATGTGTTGAATCGGACCTGGATCTTGTGTTTATTCAAGATTTTGGAGATCTTTTTTGTGATCCCCGCAATATAGGGTAAAGTGATGGTTTTGAATGACTCTTCAAGAGGGTCCTTCTTAATGGTTGGAGTGATAGCTTTGCGGATTGTGTAGTTGGAGTAACCATTAGCCTTAAGAGCTTGGTGTACGTCCTTGAGATCACTGGCAATGTGTTCCTGGTCAGAGATGCATTGGGCTCTATGGTGCAGAGTCTTGATGAGGGAATTCTTCTGGGATGGATGGTGGTGGGAATCTGGTTTCAGGTAAGCATCCGTATGGGTAGATTTCCTGTAGACAGAGTGGCTCATTGAACCATCAGGTCTCTTTCTTCCAAATCGCTCTCCGTGGTGCTAACGTAAAAAAAACCCGCCACTTTTTTCAGAATTTTCTTGCTGTGGTTTTCATACCTGATGATGATTGCTTGTGTTGCAGTCGAAACGTCGTGAGAATTTTATTGTTTTATATTTTGTTTTGTTTCCCTTCTACGTGACTTTACCGAAAGAACCAAGAATATTAATCCCTGCAGCCACGAAAGCTTTAAATCAAAACATAAGTAGAATGTTTATTTGGAAGGATGTGTAGGTTTTATCTGTCCTATAAATTTTGCAGAAAACGTTCAGTTCAATGGTAACTTATTCGTAAAAAAATTGGATTGGAAACCCAGTAAGTCTGTAAATTGCATCATAGTGTGTCATAAATCCAACTGTGTATGCGCCGTACTTAAAAGTATAGGACTAAAACTCTGTGGTGGCGTTGTGATTAATTTCCCAGTTCATTGTCACGTAAAAAATAGTGGCCTTTAGTTAAAACTAACATTTATCTGGCAGGCTGTTATATAAATATATACACACACGCATACCAAGTAGTCACATTGCACGCTTGTAATTACACTAAGAGAATAAGGAACATACGGCCCATGCACGACGTTGGAGATGGAATGACAGCCAATTAAGAGACCGCATCGAAGAGAATGACCGCTGCAGGTGATGGAGTGATAAAATCAGCTCGGGTGCAGGTGCTAGATGGATGTTTGCATTGTGTGGCCGTGAGAGATTGCAACGGCTTGGAAGAGGCCTCCATCCAACAGTGGATATATCAAGATGATAATGAGTCCATGCAGCACACACAAGTGCACCACATGACTAGGGTGAATTGTGTGTTAAGACAGGGGCGCAGTGATTGTGGGTGTCGTATGTGTCCAGGCACCCCCAACTTTTTTTAAAGTATTGAATATAGATAAGAGACGCCCAATAAATATTGCAGTGCAGGTCAAAGTCAAACATGTTAATTATGATTTGTCAGTGCTATATATAGTTTTGTAACAGTGTTCAATGATAGCATTAGCAAATCAAGTCACTGCATCTGAAAGTAAGTTAACCAATAATCACTTGCCAATGTGTCTGCAATGATAACCTCTATTTAGTCTATCTAATGCTTTCACTTTATTTTACGATTAATGTTTTAAAAATAATTTGACCGAGCCATCTTACAGGACATTTTATTTCTGTATTTTATTGTTTTATTTTGTTGTATTCCTTTGTAATTTTGCAGGATTCAGGTCACTCTCATGCAAAGGACACATCTATCTTGGGTCTCTGAGTGTTCAAACTGTTCACAAAAAATTCTAAATTGTAAACTAAAAATGTGTCATGATATTCGTTGCTAGGTTTGATTTGTTAAATATATCCGTAAAAAAAAATCGACGTTAATTAAACTTGCTTATTATAATCCTCAATGATCGACAACGTTAAATAGCTTGATTAAATGTAAAAATGTGCAAACCAACGTAATATGTAAAAAAATTGAAAATGATTGAACGGGTCCATAATTAAGGACATTAGGTTACGATTAGCACAGTTGGCTACGTACACTACGAAAGAAGTTCAACATACATGCATGTATACATACATGCATGTATGTTGAACATGCATGTATGTTGAACTTGGTCCCATATATCTGCTCGGCCCCGAGTTATACATGCTCTTGATACGTGTATTGTCTTTGTACTTTTCTCTGGTCTGACACTGGTGATACAAGGCCCTAAAGAAGGCTGTCTGATGTAGGCCAATCGGTTTCAAAAGACAATGCAAATATCAGAGTTTGTTTGAATGTTCGTTCTTGTTAATGCAGACTTGATTCTTTGCAAAAAGGTTTCTATTTTTTGTTGTTTGAACATCTTAACACCTGATTAAAAGCTTTCGTGACTGCAGGGATTCATATTCTTGGTTCTTTCGGCAAAGTCACGTAGAAGGGAAACAATTACTTTATTGTTTACCTTCTTAACACCTGTTTTATTGCCAGAAAGGGTAAAACCTATTCTTATTTTTCATACATTGTTTCTGGGGAAAAAGGTCACCATGATTTACATATGTGCATATTATGGAAAAATTGAGGATACATTAATTACGTTTAATTAAACACTTTGTGGACTTTTGAACGTACGTGTATACAGTATAAATAAATCAAACGTAGCAGGAAAAATATGCCCACACTTTTAACGTATACTTGTCGACACATACGGTTTTACCCGTATTCTTGTCCAAGGAAATTGAGTTTTTTTTATGTCCATACGGCGTACAGCCGTTTGAGTACGGGCAAAAAAAGTTGTCTTTCTTTCTCCCTTGTGATGGGGACATTGTAGGATGAACGTTGAAATTTACAAGGGCAAGGGGTGACCAGCAAGGTCTGAATTGGTCTGTAATAAGGTAGGCACTGATGAGGGATTGACTTGGTACCTAGTGGTAGTGTATCGTGTAGTGTATAGTGTAGTATATAGGATGAACGTTGAAATGTACAAGGGCACGGGGTGACCAACAAGTTCTGAATTTGTCCGCAATAGGGTAGGCACTGATAAGGGATTAACATTGTGCAAGTAATAACGTCACCCACTCTCTCCCTCTTCGATCTTTCCCAAAGAGTGACCGGGCCAGACCACCCCAACCCGAACCCATCATTGACGTCCACCACGTGGAGGCGCCACTGCCCCTCCAAATCTCTTCCCGTGGCCTCCTCGTCTCTGTTGATCCGGGGCTGGAGGGGCGTTGGTGCCCACCTCCACGCACGGGACGACACACACGCACACACACACTGTGACTCCTCAACAGCTTGAAGTGGGGGGGGTAAGGAAGCGGCACACACAGCAAGTCAGTGCCTTGGGGGTGAGAAGCCGCGCGTGGGTTGAAGAGGACGGAGAAAACTCGCAAAAACAAAAGGAGTTTAGGGAGGGAGGCCTTCAATTATTGAGCGAACCCATTCCGAGCAACGCAACGTAACGTCATAACAGTCGGCGTACATTAACGCAACCACACAACAACAACAACCACACACACACACGAGCGCGAGTATATCACGTTTTAAAGCCAAAATATAAATATTTGTAGTCATCAATTTGGGTGCAAAATGCCGGAGAAGAGGCAATTCGAGAGGTTGCCGACGGACGTGGTGCCCAAGAACTACGAGCTCGTGCTCAAGCCCGACCTGGCCGAGTTCACGTTCGAAGGCAAGGAGGCGATCGATGTCGAGGTAAAGATTAGCACCACCAACAACAACAATCACCAACAACAACAACAATCACCAACAACAACAGCAGCAGCAAGCTTCGTGTTGCCGTCGCTGCTGCCTCGCCGCCACCACCACCCTCGCCCCTCTCCACACCGAATTCTTATAATCTTTTATCTCGGCGTACAGTGTCCACTGTACTGTGTGTATATGTATAGTTGTGTGTGTGTATATAGTACAGTTGTGTGTGTGTATGTTTAAATATAGTCTTATAAATACGTATAAATGTGTGGTGGCTTTCGAGGCGCTCAACGCCCTAACGTGTAAACGCGTTGTAATTTTGTTAACGTGTTATTGTTAACGTGTGTATTGTATTGTGTGTTGTGGTATTGTTAACGTGTGTATTGTATTGTTAACGCGTGTTGTGGTATTGTTAACGCGTGTTGTGGTATTGTTAACGTGTGTTGTGGTATTGTTAACGTGTGTTGTGGTATTGTTAACGCGTGTTGTGGTATTAACGTGTGTTGTGGTATTGTTAGCGTGTGTTGTGGTATTGTTAACGCGTTTTGTGGTATTGTTAACGCGTGTTGTTGTATTAACGTGTGTTGTTGTATTGTTAACGTGTGTTGTGGTATTGTTAGCGTGTGTTGTGGTATTGTTAGCGTGTGTTGTGGTATTGTTAACGCGTGTTGTGTTATATTGTTAACGTGTGTTGTGGTATTGTTAACGCGTGTTGTGGTATTGTTAACGCGTGTCGTGGTATTGTTAACGCGTGTTGTGGTATTGTTAACGCGTGTTGTGGTATTGTTAGCGTGTGTTGTGGTATTGTTAACGCGTTTTGTGGTATTGTTAACGCGTGTTGTTGTATTAACGTGTGTTGTTGTATTGTTAACGTGTGTTGTGGTATTGTTAGCGTGTGTTGTGGTATTGTTAGCGTGTGTTGTGGTATTGTTAACGCGTGTTGTGTTATATTGTTAACGTGTGTTGTGGTATTGTTAACGCGTGTTGTGGTATTGTTAACGTGTGTCGTGGTATTGTTAACGCGTGTTGTGGTATTGTTAACGCGTGTTGTGGTATTGTTAGCGTGTGTTGTGGTATTGTTAGCGTGTGTTGTGGTATTGTTAGTGTGTGTTGTGGTATTGTTAACGCGTGTTGTGTTATATTGTTAACGTGTGTTGTGGTAGTGTTAACGCGTGTTGTGGTATTGTTAACGTGTGTTGTGGTATTGTTAACGTGTGTTGTGGTATTGTTAACGTGTGTTGTGGTATTGTTAACGTGTGTTGTGGTATTGTTAACGCGTGTTGTGGTATTGTTAACGCGTGTTGTGGTATTGTTAGCGTGTGTTGTGGTATTGTTAGCGTGTGTTGTGGTATTGTTAGTGTGTGTTGTGGTATTGTTAACGCGTGTTGTGTTATATTGTTAACGTGTGTTGTGGTAGTGTTAACGCGTGTTGTGGTATTGTTAACGTGTGTTGTGGTATTGTTAACGTGTGTTGTGGTATTCTTAACGTGTGTTGTGGTATTGTTAACGTGTGTTGTGGTATTGTTAACGTGTGTTGTGGTATTGTTAACGCGTGTTGTGGTATTGTTAACGCGTGTTGTGGTATTGTTAGCGTGTGTTGTGGTATTGTTAGCGTGTGTTGTGGTATTGTTAGTGTGTGTTGTGGTATTGTTAACGCGTGTTGTGTTATATTGTTAACGTGTGTTGTGGTAGTGTTAACGCGTGTTGTGGTATTGTTAACGTGTGTCGTGGTATTGTTAACGCGTGTTGTGGTATTGTTAACGCATGTTGTGGTATTGTTAACGTGTGTTGTGGTATTGTTAACGTGTGTTGTGGTATTGTTAACGCGTGTTGTGGTATTGTTAACGCGTGTTGTGGTATTCTTAACGCGTGTTGTGGTATTGTTAACGCGTGTGTTTGTTGTACTCCAGCTATCGTGTGTATTACTATTAAACTTGTGTGTTGTATTATTCATTTATATTGTATTAGTGTGTGTTGCATTGTTCACAACAATACTTAATGTGAAATACATTAGCAATGCATTAAATGTATTGTATGCGTTTTATTCACTACGTGTGCGTTTTTATATCCTCCATGTGTGTTTAAGTTGTGGTTATACAGTGCTGTTTATAAAGTACACGTTAGTGCGACTTAACGTGTAGTCATTGCGTTATTAGTTGTATTGAGGTGGCTTTCATGCGTTAGTGTGACTAAAATGATACGGTAATTAAATGTGTTATTGGATTGAGATTGCTTTTATATGTATGATTCCAGTTCCAGTTCTGTGTATGAGGCGTCTCATTCTACATGGTTTCATATTTGCCGTCTCAAGCACAATGCATTACTTACAATTACAGCCACTTACAATGTAATACTTAATAATAATACACAATCTCACAGACTTGTATGGGAATGGACCCAGTTTAACAAAGTTACGTTTCTTATTTTTACTTGGCATCTCTAGTTATTAAAGAAACAGACACCCAAAGCATGTCCCAACGTGGATACATGACTAGTGCCCTTACAATGTCATAACACGTATTTGATTTGTTAGTAAACACCAGTTTATAATTTTCGTGGTTTCTGACTTTATGGTTCATTAGTCGTCTGACGAGTCATTAGTAAAACTTTTTAAAATGTATGCAACAAGTGTAGAATGTTATACATGACTTCCTGGTTTTTATTTAATTAATTTCTGAGTTCAAAGTAGTACTGTACATGGGTTTGAATGTGTTGCTATTATTGGTTATGGATAATAGTCAATACTTTTGTTGGACTTTAAATAGAGACGTAGTTAATTGGCGTTTGCACGTGAATACAATTGCTGCAATCAGTAAACACTTAACAAGTTTGCCTCTGTATCGCCGAATGGAACGATTTGAGTCAAGTTTCCAATAACTCGAACCTTTAGAAACATTAAAGTGTCTTAAGCAAGTCTGCTTGCCTTGCCCGAACATTTTAAAGTTGTACAAACTGTATCACAAAGTGCGGTCATGTTTTCATTTTAAGTATTTGACCCTTTTTTTTCCTCCCTTTCAAATAACAGGAATTGAAAGCGTTCACCATCACAATACAGTAAAGCTGATACTATCCATATAGATTTAGGAGATAAGCATATTTGTTAAAACCAAAGTGTACAATGAATGTTCATGGTACAACTTTATCAAAATCCATGGTGATAAAAGATAATTAACGACAACGTGTTATCCATCACTGCACACAACCACCATTCCCCCACATTCAATACTATTTGCCTACTGTACCATTGTGTTAAAATATCTTCATGTCTCCACTTGGAATTGCACCGTGAGCATTTATTTCCTTTTTTTAAACTGCAAACTTTAAGATTTTAAGGACAATCATAATGTAAATTACGTTATAACTCGTGTCTCGACACTGTACATGGTTTCACACAGTGACATAGCATGGTTGGCTATGGGCCCTATCATACAAGGAAGTAAATGGGGGGGGAGCCCCATATCAACTGCTTACAACCCCCCATTATCGTGGCCAGCAATACTTTGGTGGGCCCCTATCGAGCTGCGGTTCCCAACGCACTCGAAGCGCACAGACTGTCTGCAACAAGGGATAGCTTATGCCACTGTTTGGAATATAAAAAAGCCAGACATTTTGCAAGGCGCGCTATAAACTCTCTTGTTTTTTCTCTCCCCATCCACCCTCATTTACTGCACCCCTCCCCTCCCCCGCATTCCGAAGGTGAAGCAGTCGACTGGACAGATTGTAATGAACTGTGCTGATATTGACATTATCAGTGCAAGCTTCTGCCATCAAGGTGGAAAAGGTATTTGCAAAATTCCACTTTTTTATTTTTTTATTAAAGAGTGATAGCACCTGGGGATGTTGAGAGGGTGTGTAGGCTGTGTGTTTTTGTGTTTGCACGTGTAGTGCCTGTTTTACTTGGCAACGCGAAACCAAATAAACACCAAGTATCCAACTGAGCAAAGATCCGTGGCACTTTCATCACCATAGGTTAAAAAGCCAGAGCCACATACTCCATCCACTTGGATTCCAGGAAGCGTGATAAATGACTTTTTCGAATGAAAACGTATTATTCGTATACGTGTATAAACTTTCATCAGCTGTGTTTTATCCACTGCTAGATAAAGGGCTTCCAAAATTGACACTATCCACGATCCTGCGATGCCACAATCCATTTTTTGTCCCGCCACATGAGTTACTCTCTTGACTCCATGCTCTGTTGTGGTTGTCGCAATGGGTGCAATCCCTCCCCTGCCTGCTACTCCATTGCCAGTCTTGTCCATCGACACTGAAGCCTTTTGGTCAATGTTATGCAGATAATGGCTCAGACTTTTGTTTGGTCTCTGACCCATGTGACCCTCTTTCCCTTGCTCAGTATAATTCCCCAGCATGCTTCTCTGGTCATGCTTCGTATCACACTTTTCAGCTTCTGTTCCATTTTCATTGTGGGTGTGCACGTTTCTGTGCACAGCAGATATTATGTAGTGATTGTTTGCTAAAACAAAAAAAATACCTGGAGGGACACGACTATTAAATGCGACCGAATGTGTTATTGAGCAATTTATCATTTTCCATTTGTTTTATATGTAATGGCTGCTATTGCCATCGGATGATGTGACTAACTTACTTCAAATTACTATTACGATTCAAATCTGTCCTGTTGATTTCACCCCAAAAAATAGTTTGCAGTGAATAGCACTTACACGTATTAAAATGTCAATTGAAAACCAGTCATTTTCTAAACGTAGCTCTCAGCTGTGTTATTGGACATTATTGTTCTCGGGCATCAAGTGCTGGCTCCGGAAGAAATACTGAAGAGTGTACTCAGAACTGAAATGTCCAACATCGTGCTGAACAATACATGGTGCAACCTGAAAACAGCCACGAAAACTTAAGAATTACATTTCTATACACTTTCCCAAAGCCATACACTAACAGACAGCTGAACTGTGGGGCACTGTGTTTATGCTCGGGTTTGACAAAAGCAAATCTTCCTAAATTCGTATTCCGGCTACTAAGTCGTTTGTTAGGTACACTGCTGTAATATGTTCAGTAATTTTCCGTATTGCTCTTTCAAAGTGGATTGGACTCTAATGGTAGTAATATATACTGAACTTTAGGCTTCCTGTTTTTCCTTCATGTTGGCAATTGCAATATATCACTCAGTGCAGTCATGTGTTTCATGTTATTATGAAAAAAATGCTTCCTAAAATTATCGCTGGTTTAAAAATGTTAGCACTTCTGCCAACTTAAATTATGCTTGAAACTAAAAATCTATTGTTCTGCTTTGCTCATGCTATATTAATCTTTGATAAGGTTAAAACTGCGTATTTGATCTCACCAGATAATGCTTATCTGCATTGTATATAATTGTACTTAATACATGCATGGCCCTTTGTTAATTCACTCATTTATGAAAGTCTCGCCACACCGTGTCGGTCGTTGGGGTGGTCTGACCATACTTCAATGCTGGTTAGTGTGTGTTGGTGAAGTGCCGGCCCAAGGTTGGCTTAAATATCACTCGCCACTGATGTTAGTCATGGTCGGTGTCAGATGTTTCCCCTTTGAATATTTGTTCCCCCAGAAAATATTGGTTCCCCTTCTGAGTATGTATAGCCCAGTTTATATAACAATCCTCTTTCTTTGCATGTTCTTGCATTTTAAACTAAAACCAACATTTTAGACCGCTCTTCTAAGTTATTTGTGAAACAGGAGCTCCACCTGCATGTATTTTTATAATGGACCACAATGAATATGACATATGATGAGAACTATTATCCATTACCCTCAGGATACAAATATTCACCACATATTACATGTGTTCTTGGGGCAACAAATATCTCTGAGCTGATATTTGTAGACACACTGGGAATGAATCAAACTCTAGTTGCTCAGTGCATAGGGTTCATAGCGCCATGGTTTATTAACCACTGCATTACGACCTACCCTCTTCATCTCCCCTTATTGACTGCAGCGGTGTTGGGTTTTCCACCAATCAAAGGGCTGTCAGGTAAAAATTAGCATGTTAATGTAAGATCGCCAAGCATCCTCCACCGCGAGCGCGCGCCAAGGTGGCTATGTTAACATATGTTAGTGGTGGAAAACCCACCACCGCCGCAGTCGCTGACCACCACTTACATTAATATTGGCTGCTGACATTTGGGCTACGCCCATTTCAATCCTTTATAAACAGTTGTCTTTAGAAGCTAACCCCCCCTTTTCCTGATGACGACCGCTTGTGTTGCGATCGAAACGTCGTAGTTTTTTTGTTATTTCTTTGACCTGTCTACGTGACTACCGAAAAACCCAAAGAATAATCATGAACAGGTTACGTCCTCCACATGGACCCGTCCCTCAATAATCATGAGCAGGTGACATCACTGCACATTGAACAGCTCCCCTAATTAATAATCATGAACAGGTGGGGTCCTCCACATGGACCCCCCCCCACATTAATAATAATCTTAAGCTGGTGACGTCACTCCACATGGATCACCCCCCCCCCCCCCCCATTAATAATCATGCACAGGTGACGGCACGGCACATCGAACAGCCCCCCTATCTAATAATCATGACCAGGTGACGTCCTCCAATTGCCCCCCCCTTCCGTTAATAATCATGAGTGGGTGACGTCATTCGACATGGGGGTAGGGGGGGCGCCTCCTCCCCCCTCTTCGGCGTCAACTTACAACCCTCACTGCAAAGGCAGAACCCTCGCGTCACGTGATCTCCGTAATGTTCTTGAGACATAGAAGTAAAAAGGACAGTCATGATGAACAAGGGATTATAACCTTTTAATGAAATAAGTCTGTGTCACCGCGGCCTTACAAATTGCACACGAATGGATGCAATGAATATCACGTCACGGTCTGCTTTTCGCTTGCAAGTTTCAGATTTACTGGAATACACCCGTCCTTGGATGGGCAGAAGGCTAGTCTATATTAATGAAAGAAATGTTCGGTCATGTTGACTGTCCTGAGAGATTGAAAAATGTATTAAATTACTAAGCCAGATAAGTCCACAATATCTTGCAATATTACCACATGCTAATGTTTTACGTGTCATAGTTCATAGTTCATTTAATTGGTATAGTCCTGTGAGCCATTCGGCTCTTGAATCGGGTGCAACCGCAACAAACAAAAACATGAACAAGAAAACATCTTAAAGTGATTATGTGACTGTGCAAACAGAAAATCCAGGAAAAAAACATCAAAATATTCCTGAAATAGCACCGTACACCAACGCTGTGTGCAAAAATCCCATTGGGATGCAAGTCAAATAACAACAACCACAAGACAACTAAGATTAAGGCCATCAGTCTAACTCCGTACTACAATAAACAAAAACATGGCCAAAAACCCCAAAAAACGTTTCGAAATCACCAAAATAAAAGCCATAAATGCAATGTAACAGTGATCATAGGGACTGTGACCGAATTTTTAACAATAAAACTACATAAATTATAACACCAAAATCTAGAGCCATATTTTAGGCCACTGAATAGAAGTGGCAGCTAGGGGTGTACAACTCCTCTAAAGTAGTTTTGAGTGAAGATCTCATAGGTAGTGATTCAAGTTGCAGTTTATTGGCAATAGCATTCCAGACCCTGCAGGCATCAATAGCAAAGGCCCTTCCTCCAGTTTTTGTACGGCAATAGGGAATGTGAAGCTGGTAAATGAGCGAAGACCTGAGGTCAAATTTGTTCTTTGAAACAGAGAGGAGATCCAGTAGGTAGTCTGCGGAATTTTTTGTAAGTACATCGTGAATAAATAAGATCTGGTGTACAAGCCGTCGAACATTAAGAGATGTTAAGTTTGACCCAATGTAGAGATCACAGTGGTGAGTCCTATATGGGCAGTTCAATGCAAATCTTAAGGCCGAGTGATACATGGAATCAAGCTTCTTCAGTACAGTACTTGGGGCTGATTTATACACGATGTCACAGTAGTCAAGTAGAGGCAGTATGGTAGCTTTTATCAATTCCAAACGGAGCATTGGGGGGAAGCAGTGCTTGTGTCGATACAGAAAACCAAATTTTTTTGTCTTTTTACCAAATATATGTGATCTTCAAAACTAAGTTTTGAATCCAGGATGACCCCAATATACTTATAGATCTTGACTTGCTCTATTTGATAATTATTCAAGGAATGTAATTGTGGAAAAATAACTTCCTGCTTTAGTCCTGGTGAGAAGCATAGCACCTTGGTTTTGGAGGTATTCAGGACTAGTTTAAGAGAAACTAGCTGATGTTGTAGTTTGTTGAAATCACCCTGGAGCTTAGCAATCACGTCATCCGGAGAGTGGCCAGCAGTAATCAGTATCGTGTCATCTGCAAAAAGATTTACCCTGGAATGATCCAGGTCAGTGCCCAAGTCATTTACATAAAGTTGAGAACAAGAGAACACGGCCTAGCATTATCTCATTCACCAGTTGTTGCAAAGGTCCACCGGGTTCAAGCTAGTGGCGGTTTTGATTAATATTGCAGGTGTTATTAACTGTAAATGTAAGGGCCACCCGCTTCATCGTGGACATGAAAATATCCTGTGACGTCATCCGGAAGCTTTGGCCACTGTGTGCCGGCATCATGGCCCAAATTTTGAAAATTACCAGCAAATTACTCAATTGGAATTATGGAAAGCAGCCAGTGCCCCCTCTTGTGAAAACTTGGTAGCACCCTACTGAAAAAGTCATAGTACTCGATGAGGCTTTCCTGGATATTAAACATCATAAGAAAACACAAATACTATACATTTTCCCATTACCACATCTGATAAAGCACTGCTTTTTATGTGCCTTAACAACTATATATTCCTGTTCACAAACTTTGGATAAATACCAGAGACATACTTTAGCCTCAAGTGTAGCCATTTTATAATTGTTAAATTGTGTTACGTGTAACTCCAATTATTGTTTTTCTTTTACTGAATGCCAAGCTGTTGAAAATGTTCCAACAGTTTTCTGCTTTTATACAGTCTGTTTCTCATGCCAAATTTGGAATGAAGCCTGTAGATTCGCTTTCACTCCCTTTACAAACAAAAATAATTCTTTCCAGATATTTTTTTCTAATGCAACTTCTTTCAAGTGCATCGTGGGCTCTGCTGCCTGTCCTAATACATTCCTGCAATTTATAACTTGAGGCCAACATTTTTAAAATCTATTTGACTTTAATCGAAAGTGCAATCATGAAAGGCCTCTTGAGGATAAGTTTAGGTACACACTATCCAGTGGAGAACACTGCCCTCATTACATTACTGCTATGCCTTTTTTTGCAAAGCCTGAGCTCTTGTAGATGTGGCTCCCAACTCTAGCACTTTGCACTTCCATTTGTGCACATGTTCACGCCTTTTATATAACAGACACTGCAAAGTTGTCATGTATTGTAATGATCAGTCACATTTCACTTTTGTTTTCCCACAAAAAGTAGTGTCATCGGGTGATGTCACATGCGGCTAAAGATGTGAAATATATTACATATCTGAAAATCACAAATTTCGGAAATTTTCCTTAAAATTCCAACATTTTTCAATCTAAAACTCATGCATAACAATTACTCTAACTGTACCAATAACCAAGTCACCCGGAATGCGACTGATCCCATCAGAGCTCGGAAGATTAGTAGAGTTGAGCCTGGATAGTGCTTGGATGGGTGACCATGAATAAAACAGGTTTAGTAGGCATTGTGGACGGTAGATGGCAGTGCACAAAAAAGCCATTGTTCTGTACACCCCGCCCACCACCCTACCTGCACCAACCCTCAATATAATCGGTGTGACCAATTGTAATGAAATAATGCTCACTGCTGCCTACACGGCAGGAGGAGCCCTCATCCAGCAATGGATCGATAAATGAGCCCCACATCCACTGTATAGTTGACCCTGAATGAGCACGGTTGGCTACATACGGTGCGAAAGAAGTTCTACATACACAACTATACGTGTATTTTCAGATATCAGTGCTTTTAGACATTACCTAAATCAAAATTGTATTGTATTTCATGTATATTATTTGTTTTATTGGGGTAATTCTTTAGCACTTGGCAATTGTGGGTGTTCGACTAGAGGCAATGGATACACCATATGCATAGCTCAATGAAACAATTAATTGGCTTAACGCTACCATTTGAGCACTTGTTTAGAACAACGCACAGGTGGCTGGTGACCAGTGCCATTCTATCCTTCACAAATAGTTGAAAATGTGAACCTCAGTCCTGTGAGAATTAAGGCATATGAAAGTTTAGAGGATACTTGAACTTACAAAAAGAAAAATAGCGAGACTACTCAAATTTGACTCCTCACAGAGGAACTGTCGAGAACTTAGAATGACTCCCCGCCAGAATTTCACTCCTTCGATGAAGTCTGGCCAACGTGAAAGAGTCGGCCAAATACCCTCTCAAGGGGCTCTTTAGAGCTCCCTTTAGTGGAGGCCTGTCCAGCAGTGGCTTGGGCGAACAGTTGCAAGGCTGCAGCTTTACCGAAATATTTCGGTGGGGGGAAAAAATAAATGTTCGTAAACAATTTTACTTAAAAAAAAGTGTTATGACCAGTTATTGCTGATCATGAGAATCGCAAAGTCGATGAAAATCGTTTGTTGTGGCTCCACAAGTTGAATAATGGCCAGTGCCGCAATTGCTGATGCGTTTTCATTATACAGTGCGATATTTATTTCCAGAGCATACGCAATAGGTTCAAACACTAGATCATGCCAGACTGATTGCAAAGTAGACATTGCGTGCCAAAGTGCCCCATTAAGCAGAGCACGCTTAAATTTATAAATTGCATCTCACATACAGCATGTGTAAGCATATACTGGACAGAGTAGATACCATATTAAATATTGCTTATTATATTTCATGTTCCGTTGGCCCATTAACAGATTTTGTTTTTTGTAAATTGATCACTCTAGATTGCTTGTTATGTCTTTTAGTAAAATAAAGTACTGTATGTGTGAATATTTTTAAACTAGCTTGTTTGCCCGTCCAAGGATGGGTGTATATTGCAGATAATCTGAAATGTTCAATAGAAAATTTGTTCCGCTCATGATTATTAATGAGGGGGGGTGCCCCATGTGGAGTGACGTCACCCGCTAATGGTTATTGGGGAGGGTTGCGGCATGTGGAGTGACGTCACCTGCTCATGATTATTAATGAGTGGGGCGGGGTTGCCCCATGTGGAGTGACGTCTCCCGTTAATGGTGATTGTGGAGGGGTGCGGCATGTGGAGTGCGCGACCTTCTTGCGCGTTCGTGTACATTTCCACGTGGGCATGAATATTAATGAAGGGGGGGGGCTCTTTTTCAGTGACGTCACGTACGGATGTAGCACTGTGCTGCGTATATTTATTTTTTACCTTCACTTTCTGTAAAGAAACGTCATTTGAAGTGACTTTGCGTAATAAATTATTTAATTCAGCTCGACCTTATGCGTTAGTGTAAAAATCTACCTACTCATGAATATTAATGAGGGGGGTGGGCCTCATGTGGAGAGACGTCACGCGCGGGACACACACATTCTTGGCTTATTATAGTCGTAATACGGTGCACAACAATTCGCCTGCTATTCATGCACAGGAAAATGCGAATCATCGATTGTAAGATACGTCCTTTTTTTTTGGAAATCTGTTTCCGATATGTCCAAGACCTCCGCCTTATAGCTCTTTAGAAAACAAATGGAGTACTAATGCACCTCATTTACGACAATCACTTAGCCACGCATATTTGCATTTAGCAAATTGCGGAAAAGCATGTTCAGCATGCATGCGCGAGGCTTTGAACATGATGTGCCCCATTAAAGAAAACCGTTGAGCAACACAGAGTTGGGTTTCGGCTAATGCGAAGGTCTGCCTGGGTTTTGCACTGTGCCAATCCCTGCCTGCCTGGGAGATCTTTAGTGATTCATTCACAGCATTAGAAATCATTGAATACGTATTGGCAATTGTGTTTTGTTTTGTGTACAGGCTTCCCATTTCCAGCCCTGACTTTGCAAAGGTCTGGTAACCGTGACAATATATATTCTGTATATTTCAGCATTTTTCTTATTTAAATTGTTTGTGCAGTAGCACCTTGTCATACTTTGGTTGCTGAACAAATTGCTGGTCAAAGACATTAATGTTTTTAGTGAAAAACCTTGTCCCCATTGGAGAGTGCCTTATTGTTTGATTTACTGCCAATTGATGTGGTTTTGGATGGTGTGTTTGTTTATTGGCTTTTCCCTCGCAGCCAAGCTAATCTAATTTGTTTGCTGCAACTTGTTATGGAATCATGCAGTTCAACAATGGTTAGCCACACATTTGATTAAATCTTGAGCCATGTTCCTTCCCTTGCCTGCATGTTTTGTAGCTTAAATAAAATAAATGCATCCCATAGCCTCCCCATCCAGGCTTTTAAGAAGAGGGATTTTGTTCAATTAAAATAATGTGTTGTTCTCATCTCCTGTTCTGAGTAGGTAATTTGCTCTGGGCCCTGAGCATTGCTTCCTAGTGGGACAAAATAACCACATTTCTGGCATGCAGTACAGTGTACAGTGCAGCACTGTAAATAAACCAGTTTTCTTCTTGTGCACTTTTAAGTGAAAGCACCTCCTTTGCAATCGCTGTTGACACTTGATTCATTTCCTCGTTTAAAAAAAAAACACTCATCCTCGCCATTCTTGGCTGTGCCTTTTTTTGTTGTAATTTGCACAGAAATCAACGCGTCTGGGTTTAACTACGAGAATCAAGATGAGCGAGTGACTTTGTCCTTTCCCTCTGCCCTGGAGCCAGGTAAAAAATAAAACGTGTCTTTACTCATTGTAACGCATGCCTTCATCACCCAACATTCGGTGAGCAGTACAGGTTAGCTTCATTAAACCACCTCGGTGCATGTCAAAGTGTTTCTGTACGGTACCTTTCGATTGAGTTGTATTTTATTCTTCAATAGAATTTTGACCCCAAATCTTGACAATTCGTGAATCTTAAGTCATCAAATTCCAGGGAGGAGAGAATAGTTACATGCATGCTTTTACATTATATTAATTTGTTAAATATCTTTTTAGGTTGGTGGTGACACAGTTTTGGCTATGGTGGCATGCTCTACAAAAGCACGCCTCGGTAAATTTGTTAATGCTGAGTTGGCATATGTAAAGTCCCTTTCACGTAATGCCATGCTTAGCAATGCCTTCTACAAAATGCCATGCTTGGAAATGTTCTGACAGCTCATGGCACTTAAAATGTTAAACATTTTTGCAAGACATGCATATGCATCTATTTGATGAATAATAGATTTATTTTGAATATCGGCCCAACAAATGTCATAACACTGCATTAAAAGGAAAATAATATATGTCATATGTAATTTGTGTTGCGCAACAGGTCTTTATCCTCACAGAGAGATTTTTGTTATTTATAGTCACGCACCACTGCCAAGGCAGTATCACAAAACAAGTTACAATTTTAACGTGGTGTATATAGCGCCTCTAGCACTACAAATCGAATGCAAAGAATCGTTTTTAATCGATGAATCGTTATGTGCCTAATACTATCTGTACATAGTTTTTCTGCTGCTCTCACACATTTGTTTTATACCCTTTGGACCATCTCCACGAGCAGGACCCGGGAAGCTGAAGCTGGAGTTTGTTGGGGAGTTGAACGACAAACTCAGAGGCTTTTACCGGAGCAAATATGTGGCCCGCTCAGGAGAAATACGCTTTGCTGCCGTCACCCAGTTTGAGGTGAGCTCCCAGCAATCTAAGTGGATATACCATGTCCTGCATTTGATGGAGTTTTTTGGGGGACCGCTAGAAATATAAACGAAAATGTAAAAAAATACAGTCGCACTTCCGAAGCTCAGATATTGCACAGCCTGCAAAGCAATGCTGATTTGTCATTAGCTTTGCATGCTACGTTGAAAATTCACGCAACGTGCAGTCCCAATGTACCTTACTGTGCTGTAACTACTGCAGCATTGGGAAATATACGCTCCACAATTGGCTGGTGATTTTCGGTGGTTTCAGCACTTTTTTTTCTTCTTTATTTTCAGATTGACATGTTAAAATGTTCAATACAGCATTGCAAGCTTAACGTATATGGGCAAAGATTTTATCTTCATGGAAATATTGGGGTTTTGTTAAGAAAATGTATGTACTGTGGCACTCAACCTCTGAATTGGCCTGGTATTTTGAGGCCACACTGTATATAGCAGGGTGATGGTATTGCAACATAGCATATCTACAGATATATTTAGACACTTGAATTCCTGCATTTATTATTATTTTTATTCCAACACTGCATACATATTCATATTCTTACTGTCTGCAAATGTTAAATATTTAGTCTTGTTGTCTTGGAGGTGAGTAGACTTTCAAAGGTGGCACAGAAAGCCATAACAACTCTTTGAGTTTTTAAGTAAGGTTGCAAGCTCAAATTATATTTGTGAAACAGTGGTTCAACAATGCACTATGAATCAAGTGACCATTCCCAGCCAAAGCTAACAACAGTGGCGAGTGATATCTGAACCATTCCTGCCCTCCCCACTGCTATAATTCATCAGCTGCATTTACCAGTTTGATGAAGTATGGTCAAATTTTGATTTAAAGCTTTCGTGACTGCAGGGATTCATATTCTTGGTTCTTTCGGTAAAGTTACGTAGAAGGGAAACAATAAAATTCTACGTGACTGTACCGAAAGAACCAAGAATATGAAGTATGGTCATTCAACTCTCACAACCAAGACAGCATAGGGCGCCTTCATCCAGAAGTGGATTGAAAAAGGGCTGTAAATAAATGTAAGTGAACACTTAATTGCACCGAGCATGGTTCTTATGCGGTATTAGCACTTCGATTTGTACTGCACAGGAGGCACGGTATAAATAATACATGATTATTAAAATCTGTTTTCATCTCTATGTAGATAAGCTGCTTTTTTTTTCGTTTTCTGACTCGGTCTGTGTGTGTATGTGTGTTGCGCAGCCAACGGATGCACGGAGAGCATTTCCCTGCTGGGATGAGCCAGCCATCAAGGCGACCTTTGACCTGTCCCTCATCGTGCCCCGTGACCGCGTAGCATTGTCCAATATGGTAGGAGAGGGTAATCACTCAACCATCCATCTTGTCCGTCCATCCATCTTTCTGCATGGGCACTGCTTACATCGACGCCCTTCACGACAGCATTTATTTTCGCTGCGATGACACGCTTTGCTGCTATATATACATGGCCATCTGGGATGCATTGCTCGCCTTTTTTCAACATCCTCACCCCCTGCGGTAGACTTGAAAGAGCAGATGTAAAATGGGTATTATTGCAATGGCCATGGTCAGTGTTAACTAAGGCAAGGTGCCCAAAGGGGCCTCGTGAGCAGGGGGCGAGAGTGCAGCTTGGGTCAGGGAGGATGGTGGCGCGTCCTAAGCAAGTACCTAGCAGCCAATGGAATCGTGGCTCGCTGCTTAGTGAAAACAGCTGCAATGCCACACACCCCATGTAATGTAGGCTGTGGTCAGCAAGCTTTGCTTTCCATTATCCTTACCCCCACTGGCCTGACATCTCAGCAGGCATATTTTTTCCATGAACCATTTTATGTAAAAAAAAAATATAATATGACATAGCATAAAATAAATGGTTTTATGGCAGGCCTTAAAACATGGTTCTGTCACCAGGAATTTTCAAAGTGAGTGTGGATTATGAAATGGAATGAGGTAAATGGTCGAATGCTGTGTGTTTCATATTTGAGTGCAGTATGATGGTAGGGTCGCTGTGAACTTGGCCACTTAAGTTAGATTCCTGGCCAAGGCTAACATCTGTGGCAAGTGATATCTGAAACGGTCCTGGTTTGCCTTTCACCAATTCACACAGATCAGCATGGTCAAATATGGTAAAAAAACAAAAACCTCATGACCAACACGGCATGGCGAGGCTTTGATCCAGCAGTGGATTGACCAAGTTCTGTGAAGTAATGATGACGTATACACTGCTTATTTTAAGATGCCTCAGTAAATTTTCAACATGTTTTACTAGAATTAAATGAATGCGGGCTGTTTAAGAACAAATGCACTGGTCTTTAACTTTGATTATTACTGTGTGAATGTCAATCAACATGCATTAAGCCTTGTGCAACTTGCCAGCAAGAAGCCTAACACGATATTGCACATGACAGATCTTACAGTGGCTTAATGGCACTGGCTTATTAGATAGACCTTTATTTAAAAAAAAAACATAATCCATTGAGACAGGTGTAACAATAAAAAATTCCAATTTAAAATCGAAATAAAATATGAACTAAGGTTTGTTTTAAATTCAAGTATGACTCGTAAAGCATTCTGGATTTTCTAGTAATTCCAATGCCTGTGGCCAAATCTCCCGGAATGTGCCTGATCTCATCAGATCTTGGAAGCTAAGCATGGGTGAACCTGGATAGTGCTTGAATAGATGAGGGGAGCAGAGGGCAGTCCAGCAAAACACATTGTTGTGCTGCTCTTATGCATCTGTTTCTCGCCTTCAATAACCTTCACTTCTTCCAGCAGTGGATTGACGAAGGGCTCCAGATGAAGAGCTTTTAAAGATTTCCTGTAATTCATTTGTAAACACTATAAAGACAAACTTAGACCAGTGTGTATTTTTCTGTATTGATGGCAGGAGTTAACCAGTTCGGCATTGCGTTTTCAGGTTGCACTTCGCATTGTTTGGCATGATGTCTCACGTTTGGCTCCATGTGTTGGGAGTTTTTTTGGGAATTTAATCTTAAAAGCTCCCAGCACGTGGGGTGAAATGTCGAACAAGAATCATGCCAAACAACACGGTACAATCCGAAAACGCATTTGAGAGCTCTACAGCACAGGGAACCAGTGCATTAGGAAGTAACTACAGTAAAACCTTGGATTACGAGCATAATTCGTTCCGGAAACGTGTTTGTAATCCAAAGCACTCGTATGTCAAAGCAGTCGTATATCAGTTGTGATCACGTGACGCTCGGCAGACAAAGCGTATACGTACTACTTGTATTGCAAGACCTCGCTCGTTTATCAAATTAATATTTATTTAAAATTTTTGCTCGTCTTGCAAAACATTCGCAGACCAAGTTACTCGCAATTCAAGGCTTTACTGTAGTTCTATTGCAGGGATCATGTTTATTGACGAAAACCGCTTAGATCGTGGGTCACACAAACACATGTGCTGCCCTTGCTTCTCTCTCTGCCGTTCACAGCAAGAGATCAAGCGCGTGCCTCAAGATGATGAGCAGGGCAGCTCCGGCGAGGGCCTGGTGCGTGTGACGTTTGCCCGCTCGCCCATTATGTCCACCTACCTGGTGGCATTCGTGGTGGGCGAGTTTGACTTTGTCGAGGCGCAGTCGTCCGATGGGGTGCTGGTGCGCGTCTACGCGCCCCTGGGCAAGGCCGAGCACGGCCGCTTCGCGCTGCAGGTGTGTACATTGGGAACTGTCTGTAAATCAAAAGTGAGGACTGCTGCGTTCATCATCATTACAGTTGTCAGATATTATGAGTCCACTGCTGGATGAAGGCTTCTCTAAGCTGTTACGATCCTACGATCCGATTACTTTATCTTAATTTATATAGCACCTTTACCAAGGCACGTTACAGAGAATCAAGAATGGTACATACAGTGAGGGGAAAAAAGGATTTGATCCCCTGCTGATTTTGTACGTTTGCCCACTGGCAAAGAAATGATTAGTCTATAATTGTAATGGTAGGTTTATTTGAACAGTGAGAGACAAAATAACAACAAAATCCAGAAAAACGCATGACAAAAATTTTATGAATTGATTTGCATTTTAATGAAGGAAATAAGTATTTGACCCCTCTGCAAAACATTACTTAGTACTTGGTGGCAAAACCCTTGTTGGCAATCACAGAGGTCAGACGTTTCTTGTAGTTGGCCACCAGGTTTGCACACATCTCAGGAGGGATTTTGTCCCACTACTCTTTGCAGATCTTCTCCAAGTCATTAAGGTTTTGAGGCTGACGTTTGGCAACTCGAACCTTCAGCTCCCTCCACAGATTTTCTGTGGGATTAAGGTCTGGAGACTCTGCAGGACCTTAATGTGTCATGCTGGAATACCCATCCACGACCCATTTTCAATGCCCTGGCTGAGGGAAGGAGGTTCTCACCCAAGATTTGATGGTACATGGCTCCATCCATCGTCCCTTTGATGCGGTGAAGTTGTCCTGTCCCCTTAAATGCAGAAAAACACGCCCAAAGCATAATGTTTCCACCTCCATGTTTGACGGTGGGGATGGTATTCTTGGGGTCATAGGCAGCATTCCTCCTCCTCCAAACACGGCGAGTTGAGTTGATGCCAAAGAGCTCTATTTTGGTCTCATCTGACCGCAACACTTTCACCTAATTGTTCTCTGAATCATTCAGATGTTCATTGGCAAACTTCAGACGGGCATGTATATCTGCTTTCTTAAGCAGAGGGACCTTGCGGGCGCTACAGGATTTCAGTCCTTCACGGCGTAGTGTGTTACCAATTGTTTTCTTGGTGACTATGGTCCCAGCTGCCTTGAGATCATTGGGCTAATTCCTCACCGTTCTCATGATCATTGCAACTCCACGAGGTGAGATCTTGCATGGAGCCCAAGGCCGAGGGAGATTGGCAGTTCTTTTGTGTTTCTTCCATTTGTGAACAATCGCACCAACTGTTGTCATCTTCTCACCAAGCTGCTTGGCAATGGGTCTTGTAGCCCATTCCAGCCTTGTGTAGGTCTACAATCTTGTCCCTGACATCCTTGGAGAGCTCTTTGGTTTTGGCCATGGTGGAGAGTTTAGAATCTGATTGATTGCTTCTGTGGACAGGTGTCTTTTATACAGGTAACAAGCTGAGATTAGGAGCACTCCCTTTAAGAGTGTGCTCCTAATCTCAGCTCGTTACCTGTATAAAAGACACCTGGGAGCCAGAAATCTTTCTGATTGAGAGGGGGTCAAATACTTATTTCCCTCATTAAAATGCAAATCAATTTATAAGATTTGTGACATGCGGTTTTCTGGATTTCTTTGTTATTCTCTCTCTCACTGTTCAAATAAAAACCTACCATTAAAATTATAGACTGATCATTTCTTTGTCAGTGGGCAAACGTACAAAATCAGCAGGGGATCAAATGCTTTTTTTCCCTCACTGTATGAATGTAATGGTGGAGGTGAGCGGAATGAAATAAATGAAGCAATGGGGGCGAACCTGTGATGCGTGAATTCGGCAAAAGCGAAATTGAAGAGAGTATATGATGATGAATTGATTGAATGAATGGGGAAATTAAGGAGTCGTGAGGGTGAGCTTGGGAAAATAAGTGAATTTGAGTGAGGACTGGAAAATAGTGAGGCAAGGTGACTGTTTAATGTGGAGGGGAACTTTTTTTTCCAGTGAAGGGGGGCAAGAAGTGAAAAAGAGCAAAAGCGTGGATTCGGCGCAAGGAGAAAGAGGACAGAGAGAGGCAGCAAACATTCTGAACGTAGAGGGTGAGAAGGTACATAGATGCAAGTTTGGCAAGATATGGTGGGCCAAGACCATGAAGGGATTTTGTCGACCAGGGTGAGGAATTTGAACAGACAACTGTAGCACACAGAGCCAATGTAGTTGCGCGAGAAGGGTCGAGGTATGGGAATTGTAGGGAAGGTTGAATATGATACGAGCAGAGTTGTTTTGAGTTGTTTTTTTGGATTTGTTGAATCCACCTAGCGCCTGCACACGGGCTGATTTCATCGTCACATCTCTGAGGCAGATGTACTCTTGAGTGCCTCCCCTCCGTTGGCTGCCACTCCACTGTTATTGTCTATCACTGGCCATCATCTCTTCTAGCGATGTGTCCTGCGAAGTTCACTTACATTCTAGATTTGAAGCTTTCGTGACTGCAAGGATCCATACTCTTTGGTTCTATTCGGTAAAGTCACGTATTATACTTTGTCTCTTCCTCGATGTTTTTTTACTTTTTATTTTTGTTCCATCCTTATTAATGACCATGTTTTGGAACCATAAGTCATAGTTAAAAGGCATTGATAAACACCTTCAATATTCTTGGTTCTTTCGGTAAAGTCACATAGAAGGGAAACAATAAAATAAAAAAATATTATTTTATTGTTTCCCTTCTACGTGACTTTACCGGAAGAACCAAGAATATGAGTCCCTGCAGTCACGAAAGCTTTAAATCAAAACACCTTCTGTGTAATGTGGGAGATACGCTTGCCAACAGGTGGATTTGCCGTAAGTTGTTGTATTCCTCTCTTTTCTCACAGGTTGCCACCAAGACACTACCTTTCTACAAGGACTACTTCGATGTTCCCTACCCACTTCCCAAGATTGACTTGATTGCAGTGGCAGACTTTGCAACAGGTTGGTGGTAATGGTCTCTAATTATGTGCAGATTGCTGCTTTTAAATAAATACATTTATATTCTTTGTTCTTTCGGTAAAGTCACCACGTAGAAGGGAAACAATGAAATAATAAAAATATAAAACAGTAAAATTCTCACGACGTTTCGACTGCAACACAAGCAATCATCATCAAGTGCTGTGGTTTTCACACCTGATGATGATTGCTTGTGTTGCAGTCGAAACGTCGTGATAATTTTATTATTTAATATTTTTATTATTTTATTGTTTCCCTTCTACGTGAAATTACCGAAAGAACCAAGAATATGAATCCCTGCAGTCACGAAAGCTTTAAATCAAAAATACATTTATATTTTAAAACAGGCTGTTTTGGCCGATTAGTATGAGGCAATGAAATTTTAATGTGGGATGTGTGTGATTTTGTTTGTCTCTCAGGTGCCATGGAAAACTGGGGACTGGTCACCTATAGGTACAATGTTTTTTTTATGAATGTAATTCCAATGATGTCCACAGTTACTGATGTAATTCTTCAGTTTTTTTTTTCCCAGGGATTTAGAAACTTTTTTTCAAAAGGCTTTTCCAACAAGCACCTATGTGCTCAGTTCCAGTCATTGACGCTGCTGCTGCTGCTCAGCTGAATACAGTGCTACTTTCATGAGCCTCTTCTTGTCATTGGTTTCCCATAGGGCAATGCACATATTCTGTTGGGGATCGTGTGTGTCCATAAATGCGTGAGAAACTTTCTCCTGCTCTCCGTCATCCCGGATCCAAATGTCTTGTGAGGCTTGGGTTATCACGGTTTCATTTAGACTCATTCCAGCAAATAGCCAAGCACCGCCTGCACTGTGAGGCACTCACATTGGCTCGGCTCGGATGTTCTCGTGGATCAAGAGGGCGTCAGAAACGTCTTAAGCCCTACAGTTTGGTTGCCTTGTTTTGTTTCACAGAGGATGCTGTTTGATGTCTGAATGACACAGCTACTTACGGTGTTCGTGTTACGTGACAGGGAGCTGGCGCTGCTCGTTGATCCAAAGAACTCATCAGCCGAGGCCAAGCAGAAGGTGGCCCTCGTTGTGGGGCACGAGCTGGCCCACCAGTGGTTTGGAAACCTCGTGACGATGGTACGCGACAACACGGACAATTCCCCGTTGTAACTTGACAGCGCCTCCCTGAAAAATGCGTGCCACCAATGTTGTAATGCCGCTTCTCAGGAATGGTGGACGCACCTGTGGCTGAATGAGGGCTTTGCCTCCTGGATCGAATACCTGTGTGTGGACCACTGCTTTCCCGAGTTTGACATCTGGACACAGTTTGTTTCCACGGACTACGCTCCCGCCCTAGAGCTGGATGCCCTTGACAACAGCCACCCCATCGAGGTACCTTTTTGATCTGTCGCAAATGTAGATGCCGTCATTTTGCTTAACAATAGAGGTGTACCAATTGATGAACATGTATTAGTATGCTAATGGTGTATTTGCATAGAATCATAGGTGTGTGTGTGTGTCAATTTAATTTTTTTTTATGTTGTGTGTAATCAGATCATGTGGCCTCAGCAGCTACTTAGTTTTAACAATGCAGCAATTTGTAAGGAGGAGAAACGTTACAAGGCCTACTTTACAACAACTCACATAAAAAAAAATTCCACGAATCACCAGCAGCAGTTTTTCTGATGTTTATTTTATTCTACTTGAAAATTGATGTGAAAAGAAAAACAGAATGTACATGTGAGCACTGCATATTTTGCCAATTTTCTTAACTTATTTTTTGTGTTTACATGTTGTGCACCCATGGGCTGTTCAACACATGCACACAGCACAAACATTGATATTTTATTGTCTTGTGTTGTGATCATTTCAGGTACCCGTTGGTCACCCATCGGAGGTGGATGAAATTTTTGATACCATCTCCTACAGCAAGGGCGCGTCAGTCATCCGCATGCTCCACAACTACATTGGGGATGAGGTCAGAAGCTTCCATTTTTTCCCCGAAACCCCCGTACACTTCATTGTCATATGTCTCTGGAGGTGAACAGTTATCTCGGGTCACAGCACTGAGCTGACACTGCTCAAGAGTCTGGGTTTGAATCCAACCACAGCCACCCATAATTAAACTGGGTTATCAAGTGTAGTGAGTTCATTAATGCTTTGAGGCCAGTTGCCAATGATTACAACAACAAAAAAACACATTAATGTAATTTTAATTTATATAACTTAAGTCCACTTTGAGAATAAAATCTGATGACCATGTCGTAAATGTATCTTTAACAGGGTATTAGGGAATATCTATTCCCAATTGTGTGGAAAAATAGGGTCCATTGAAGGGAATGCAGATGTTGTTCTGATGTCTCTCTCCAAGGGTCATTCCCTAATTGGATTAATTTTCATCTGGTGTGACGTGATTCCGATCTCACAATTTTAATAAAATGGGAAAAATAAAATAATGTAAAAAAACCTCCAAAATATAGTAGCAATGCATAAGTTCCGTTTAGATATTTAGTACGGGTTTGCTTATGCCAAGGCTGGAAATACTTTACCATGATTAATTTTGTGTTTCTAAACCGCTGCCAAAGAATTCGCCGAATATTTATTTGAAGGTTCACAACCAAACATTTGCTAATGATGTTACTTTAAGAGTGTTTTAAACAAAACACATTTAATGACTTCTCGTTGGCCACACCTGCTGTCATTAGTAAAGAAAACACTGAGTGAGCCGCACTCAACGTGTGAACGCTCCACATTCCATCACTCGTGGAGTTATTTTAAAATAGTCTTGAAGGAATATTTATTTTTTGTCGGGTATAAGGCAGAGTTTTGGATACTAGTTGGTAATTTTAAAACTATGATAATAGGTTTTTCCCCTTTTTTCTGGCAACAAAGCAGGTGTTAAGATGTTAACACCAAACTGAAACCTTTTACAAGGAAACATACTCTGATAATATATGCATTGTCCTTGAAACTGATTGGTCCACACCAGAGACAGCTTTCTTTTGAGCCTCGTCTCAAACGGTGTTAAAAAGGCGTCCTCTGGTCTAACACCGTTTGAGACGAGGCTCAAAAGAAAGCTATCTGGTGTGGACCAATCAGTTTCAAGGACAATGCATATATTATCAGAGTTTTTTTTAAATTTAATTCTGACCACAAGCATTGTGGTTAATGTGCAGACATGATTCCTTGTTAAAGGTTTCAGTTTGGTGTTTTAACATCTTAACACCTATATTCTTAGTTTTTTCGGTAAAGTCACGTTGAAGAGAAACAACAAAATAACAACAATATTTTGTTGTTTCTCTTCAACGTGACTTTACCGAAAAAACTAAATATGAATTACTGCAGTCACGAAAGCTTTAAATCAAAATCTTAACACCTGTTTTGTTTTTATTTAAAGCTTTCGTGACTGCAGGGATTCATGTTCTTGGTTATTTCGGTAAAGTCACGTAGAAGGGAAACAATAAAATAATATATAAAAAAGTTGGAAAATCTATTATCATATTTTAGTACTGGCAAAGGGGAGATCCCATGATGTACAATTTTAAAACTATTTCATGAAAACTTTTAACATTCCCACAACCACTTAAATGCAGACCTAGTCGCACGGTTGGCTACGTGCGGCACAAAATCATTTAAACATCCGTACATACATCCTGGCCCAGTTTGGAAACTGGTTCAAGTGAGCCCAGTGCAGATCGCCAAAGCAGCCTTACCAGACTCTCTATCTCTTCTCTCTTGCCCATTCTCTTCCCTTCCCTTGCCCCTTCACTCTTACTCATCCCTCCCCTACCCTTTTGTGATCCCTTAAGTACCCTCTTTCACGATCACTCATTTCTCAACCCTTGCACGCCCCTGCCATCTAAATTGTCGTAGTGTGTCACCGTTTTTATTTTTACTACATCAAGCGGCTTGTGTGAAGGCGCTCTACAAATATAAAATCATCAACCTCCAATGCACAAAAAGTAACTGTCTTAAAACACCAACACAAAAACATATGATTGAGTCAGTTCTCAATGTATTTGCTGTGATGAGCCATTGAATAAAACGTCACACCTATTTAAGATTATTAAAGACATTGTTATTAATAGTTTTTCTTTGTTCCGGAGGTAGGTGCTCATTCATTCAGTGATTTTCTCTTGGAAAATCAGCTTTGTATTAGGTTTGTTTTAATTTATTACAGTAAACGCTGCTGTTAGGATAAAACCATCATGCTCTTATGTGTTTTTCTTTATAGGACTTCCGAAAAGGAATGCATCTGTACCTGACAAAGTTTCAGTACAAAAATGCAGCCACGCGTAAGTTCTTCCGCAGCAGGTTTAACTTTATTTTAACTTGTATCATGCTGTCGAGTTGGAATTCTTCGTCTATTCAGTTGGTTTATTGAATCGTTTTTTTTTTACTTCAAACAAAAACGTGCACTGTGGGTACAAAATTGGCATTCTTTCTTTTGTGATGGATTGTCTCATCATTTACAGATTTGAATTAAAGTTATACTCCGTTTTTTACCGAATTACATTTGTGCATGTTTACCATATTGGCTTCTTTATTTGCAGTTTGCCCCCCTCGCCATCTTCGCATGAGATACAGTCGCATTTAGATATTATAAACCCAAATTGTATTGCATTTTGGTAGAGTGGGCGACATCAGTGGTTAGCACACTCTGCTATGAACCCAGCGACACGAGTTCGATTCCCGGCCACGGCTGATATTAATGGCGAGTGACATTTTCACCTGTGCTGGTCTTCACCCTCCCCTTCACCAACCTGCGCTGACCAGCGTGCTGAAGTATAGTCACACAACCCCCATGACTGACGTTGAGTGGGAGAATTCCTTCATCCAGCAGTGGATGAACAAAAGGGCTATAAGTTACATCATATAGGGTGACCAATTATAGATACCCCACTAAAATAAGGGCAAGAAATTAAGATAACAATTTTATTTCAGAATCAATCAGAATCTTTATTTATCCGGGAGAAATTTGATGAGCTATGAATCTCTTTTTCACAGATATCCAGTAGTGTGGGTCAGAATTATTTCAAGTCTCCACAAGTCTCCAACCAATCTCAATACACTTTATTTGTATAATAGGTATTTTTTGGGCAATGGCCCTTCATCACAAATAGTGAGGCCAGATAGTGAATCATATTTGGAGACTGCACTGTACACCTATTAAATATTTTAACACTCCTCTGTAAGATATGGAGCTATCGCTCTCACAATATCTAGTTAACCACCTGTTGAGAAGAAAGTCACCGGATCATTGTAAATCACCAGGGTACCTGTAAAATGTGTCGTACTGCGTGGGCGCTTAATGTAACACGGCTGCGTTGCAGAGGACCTGTGGGACTGCCTGGAGGAGGCGAGCGGCAAGCCTGTGAGCGCCGTGATGTGCACCTGGACCACCCAGATGGGCTTCCCCGTGTTGCACGTGACAGCCGAGCAGGTGGGCCCGTTACCTCCCTCGCCTCCAACCTCGCCCGTTCGTTCTGGGATTCGCGCACTTCCGCATCGGAGCCATGCTCATTCGTCCTCGTTAGCCATGACATAAACTCCACTTCTGGATGAGGTCGTCCAGAATTCGTGTCCTTCTTGTGGCAAGTAGGAAGGACACGTCAGAGTGGAAGTGTGCAGTGGATGTGGACAGAAGCAAGTTGTGCTTTTTGTGTTTAGTTCTTCCCCCCCACTGCACCTTAGATTTGCATGGTTGGCTCTGTACAGTGTGAAAGCCGTTCAAAATAAATGCATACATACATACAATCCGCAGCCATCAATGTTCTGCGAGCCAAAAATCTACATAATACCACTGCATGAGCTGATTGCATCTTTCCAGTTCAGTACATTTAATTTATTCAAAAAGCACAATTATCAAATGTTTTTCCTCGGTAAAAAATAAGCGGTGACTGTAAAGGCTGAACGTTAATATGTTGATATTTTGTTATATGACAGCAAGGCAACGACAGGATTTTGAAAATTTCACAGAAGAAGTTTTGCGCCGGAGGTGTCTTTTCTGGTATGATTACAAGATCCGTTTATCCGTGCATTCACCCTCATTTGATGTGTATTCATAATTGATCAACTAAATCACGTGAATTATATATTTAAATCACCTGTCATCACCTTCCCTCATGGTGTTATGATGTCCATAACCTGCCAAAGTCCACTTTTCTTAAGTCGGTGTAATGGCTCTCAATTCCATTTGTACTCTTATCCACGTACTCTTGGGTTATTTCGGTAAGTCACGTAGGCCTAAAATAAAATAAATAACGACGTTTCAGGCGCAACGCAAGCGTCCGTCATCAGGTGGGAAAGCATGATCTGCTGCTGAGGCACTGTTTTAAATGGTTTGAAAAAGGTGTACCCCAAGGGTCATAAAGAAGTGGGCGGGGCTAGTGATGTTAATGTGCAAAAATTAGCATGTAACTGTAAGATAAGAGAGCGGCCTCCTCGACGAGGGCACGGAAGTGGCTATGTTAATGTGAGAGATTAGCATGATGTTAATGTAAGAATGAAGAGTGGTGCAATCCAAAGGCTTGGGAGCGCAATCCAAAGGACATGTGAGCATGAGAGTGCAATCCAAAGGACATGTGAGCGTGAGAGTGCAATCCAAAGGCATGAGAGTGCAATGCAAAGGACATGTGAGCATGAGAGATCTAAGAGAGAGGTATAGAGAGAGAGAGAGACACACAGATAGTCGGAAATAACAGCTGACATAGGCAGGTAGGATGGATCTTATCCACATGCTCCTCGTTTTGGCTTTCATTGTAATTCCTAGCAAGCAGCACTCCTCACTTCTTTGAGTACTTTTCAGTTTTTTTGGTTCCACGTTGTTTGTCAGATTCCATGGAACGATCCATATGTCATGCTATGTAATATGCAAGGATTTAAAACGTTATTCTTTAAGTTAATTAGTACGTTGCTTTTCCAAAGCGCTCCCGTTATCCCTCATTTAATCCTGCCTTCAACAATCGCAGTTGACTCTACACACACTCTTGTATTTTTTGTTTTCCGTCGCACCACTCCGACAATTCTCGTTCTCACTCAGGTTTATCAAATTTGTCCGTGACTTTTGTTTTGCTCATTTGCCTTTCGTGCCACTTTAAATGTTTATTTGTTTATTTCTTCAGTCATTTCCTGTATTTCATTGCCATTTTTGGGAAGGATACATTGTCAGTGAAGCTGAGATGTTTAATACTTTCACCAAGGATGGTCCTTATTCCATTATTCCAACGACAATCATTTTTCAGTGAATATCTTTTAGTGTTACTGTGAATAACTTCGGTGAGACTGGTTTGCCTTGGCTGACTCCCATTACAAATCGGATTTAATTATTTTATGTAATCTTATTATAGCTGTTTCATATTCATAAATGGTTTTGATAATGTATATATTTCGTTATTTAGACCTTGGCATCTGTAGATCATGTTTGCATCTAAAAAGTATGTTTTTTTTCTACAGACTAAAATTCTAACAGAATTAGCACAACATTCTGCTTGGTACAATTTTACAATTGTTAGTTGTTGAGTAATCAAGTAATGACTGAGTAATGAAATGGAATTGCATGGCACTTCTGTAAACATAAACCCCACATATTTAAACAGAGGACTATTGGGCATCATTTATACCATCAAAGCCAGTAGTCATATTTCTTGTGAAAAGCAGTTTACCAGCCAATGTAATTACTGCTTGCGGGACGCCCTGGAACGACTGATCACCTACAAACTGCTTAAATGTCATGACTGTTTTGGCAGTCGATAAAATGAACACCAAATCAACTTTCCAAACATATTCAGTGATTACAAGCGTTCTCTTCTGTTGAGTCTGAAGAAGGCACAAACATCGCTTAAATAGCTCAGTGCATACAGACTGAAGATTTACCAGCATAGTAAATACAGTATTGTCAAATAACACCCATTAATGATACTTTGTGAGGAGGCCTTCATCCAGCATTGGATTGACAAAGGGCCATAAATGATTATTGTGATTATTAGTGGATGTATGTGTTTAATGCAGGAATTTAAGAATACCTTCGTAACTCTGCTTCGTGGAACTTGGCATAGCTGGATACTACTGCCTTTGAATTCAATGAATAGATACGATGTATTAATAAATTGGGATTGATTTTTTGCTGAGTTACTAATTATTTAAGCCACTCACTTGAGCATAAAAAAAACCTTGTCTATGTAATATAGAACACCCAACTTTTCAGGATTTTTTTAAAATTTACCACGATATATTCGACAGGTGAGATATGCCCGCAATGGATGGTGCCAATCAGCGTCTCGACAAGCGAGGATCCCAATGCCATTCACACCACAGTTTTGTTGGACAAGCCTGAGATGACCGTCACCATCAAAAACATCGATCCAAAGCACTGGATCAAGGTGCGACCTCATCCGCTAAACTCACCTGTGTGTTCCATCCCCATGTAACGATTCGCCCCATTGTTGTTCTATGAATTGTCGCAAGTCGGGGTCACGATTCAATTCTATGGTCATTTTGTTTCAATTCTAGTGGCAGCAGGGGTCACATGGCCCATTACGTACAAGCTATACGATCGAATATAATATATTTACACGTGCAAGATTAGACGTATGTATCGTGAGGATAACAATTGATATGAATTGAATACTCGATGCATCCGTACATGTATAAGACTTGTTTAAAACTTATTTAAGATTTTAGATTCCTATATGTTGAATGTATGCACCATCCTGCCAAAGTAAATTCCGTGTCGGTGTGAACTTACATGGCGAATAAAACCCTTTCTGATTCTAATAGTCTGCTCTAATGTCAATAACATTGCCTTTAATGGCAAATAATTTATGGGTTTTTTGACCAATGGCCCTTCCACATATCGTAACGATCTGATGAGATGGCTTAGGCACAACATTTTGCATTTTGGTGTATACTGCTTTCACCAACACATGAATTGATCCCCTGTTTGTGCCTGCTTACCCCAATGGGTTTTGTCACTCATCAATTGTCGCCTCGTTCCCCAGCTTAATCCGGGCACGGTGGGGTTCTGCCGCGTCAGCTACACCAGCGACATGCTCTATAGTCTGATCCCAGCCATCAGAGACCTCTCTCTTCCAGCACGCGACCGCATGGACCTTCAGAATGACCTCATGGCTCTGGTGATTCTTGTTTTTGAGTTTATCCTGTATAGAAATCTTGTACGCAGTCAGTTAGGGATATTATATATATATGCACTGATTTCCTCTTTTCCCCGCACATTATCTATGTATGTTTACGTCAAACAAACTCTGGAATGCTCATTGTGGCGTGCCAATTTTCAAACAAGTGGTCATGGAACTTTCGGGGCTGCATGATGGGCATTGTAGAAATATTCATTGTTGCACTGTACGTATATGCTTTCACGTAAATGCTGCCTGCCTTTATCAACCCACACTGACTGGCATGGTGAAGTACAGTTAATAACTCTCCATCAATTGCTTGGCTGTGGAATGCCTTCATCCACCAGTGAATGGACACAATTGCTGGAAAAGTACACTTATACTATGCTATGCACCCATTGACCAGAGTCCTGGGCGCCTCCCTTGTCCTAACCTGCACTGCCCAGCAGCATTGTGAATTTTGGTTCCAACAACCCCCGACAGTGGAGAGGCCTTAATTCTGCAGTCGATTGACAAAGCGCTGCAATTATTATACAAAGAGATACATGAGGAATCCTTACATGCATTTCACGCATGTATATAATTAGGCTAAACATCATACTTTAATTGGAGAATTGATGCATCGTTACTCCTAATTACCATGCGCATGCATGCGGTATGCTTATACCCATGTTTGCATGTGTGCGCGCATGAATAGGCTCGCGCAGGCGTTGTGAGTGCAGTGGAGGTTCTCAAAGTCCTGGAGGCCTTCAAGAATGAGACCAACTACACGGTGTGGCTGGACCTGTCCGGCAACCTCTCATCCATTGCCGTTCTTCTCATCAACACCGATTTCTACTCCAACTTCCAAGACTATGTCATTGACCTGTTCGCACCCATCGGGGCACGGCTCGGCTGGGATCCCAAGCCTGGCGAAGGTAGAACACCCCCATTGGGTGACTCGTGAGCTTGTCATTTCAGTCCCGTGAAACGTGACAGGAAGGTATAAACTTGAGGGGGGAAAAAAATGGTAACGCAGTTATAGGCCATGTGGGCAGGACGCAGGATGTTCAGGTAATGGGACAAGCGTGGAAGTGATCTCCATCAGTTGGGCGATTATGGGGAAGACCTAAGAGCAGATGGTTGGGGATAATGTTCGGGCACATCATTTAGATCGCGTGTCCACTCTGCATTAGTTGCGGCAGATGGTAGAAGGCATTGGCAATGAGGTTGCGATCGCATTAGTGGCTTTGGCTGTGTTTAGTGTCAAATAGATTATCGTACAATATGTAGCTGTAGCTTGCGCCACCCGATATTTTAGTGTTAATTCAAGGTATAGTTTTTTTTATGGGGTTTTTTTTACGATTGACTTAGGCAGGGACACATCATTAGAAGACAATAAGAGAACTATGATAGCCAAGGTAGCAAATGTGCTCGAGAGGATGAACCTCTAACAAGGAGATGGAGCATTTAAATTAGCTATAGTGCATGTGCTAGGTAGGTTGCTACATCGCCAGACTGTGAGAGTGCGATGACTTAAGGAAGCAGTTGATAAATCATTGGTAATGAGAATGATGATAGATGAAGCTCAATTTGCATTTTTGGATAGAGATTTTGATTTCATGTCACTAGCAGTGTTTAATGTGTATGCAATTACATCTGAAAAGTACATTCTCTACAGTGGACAGCAATTGAACGAACTAATACAATGGTATTGTAGTTGTAGGTTGTGAAACAACAAACTATGCTAATGCTATAAATGGTGCATCTTTATATATATACACAGTAGAACCCCTCCTCATGTCATGAAGTGATTTGGTCGTTAAGCGAGTATAGGAAATACACGTTAAAGGCTTAATTCGTTCCGATAGCATTGAAAGTCACCCCGTTTCACCCATTAAACGTACTTTATAATATTTAAACAATGGATATTAATATATAAGGATACTAACAACATTATAAACGCAATATTAAAATAAACATGGTTAATCAATTAATTTATATTTTCTGTACCTACAACAGCCCGTGGTTAATAGGGGGAATGGTCAGTAAGTGAACACATTGGGCTCTATGGAGGCACTACACTACTATATACTACACTATGCACTATACACTACACTACTATACACTACACTACTATACACTACACTAATATACACCACTACTATACACTACACTATACACTACACTAATATACACTACACTACTATACACTACACTATACACTACACTATACACTACACTACTATACACTACACTACTATACACGACACTATACACTACACTAATATACAGTACACTATTCACTACACTAAAATACAGTACACTATACACTACACTAATATACACTACACATTGGGCTCTGTGGAGGCTTGTCGTTGAGCGATTTAGTCGTTAACAGGGGTGGTTGTTTAGAGGGGGGTCTGACTGCAATGCCACAATGGAGTCTTATGGTTAATAAACATCTGCAATAACATGCAACTTGTTTTTTGTCACACACTTCTATAGCGACGTGATTCTGAGTGCGGTATACATACCACAACAAATGCTTTATATTTTACAGTTTATTTAACAGGAGGGGGGTGGTGTGTGTATGTCCTCTCCTGTTTAACCTCTACGCAGGACACTTGGATGCCCTGCTCCGCAGCATTGCTTTGGGGCGCCTGGGCCGGGCAGGCCACCCTCCGACACTGGAGGAGGCTCGCCGGCGCTTCCATGAGCACACAGAGGGCAAGAAGGTCCTTCACCCTGATCTGCGCCAAATGGTACGTGCGTAGACATGCCTCAGAGCAGTCTCGAGCGAGTGGGTTGTTCTATGGGGCAGATGGCATGGCTGCAGTACTTGATAGTTTTTTTGGTGCAGTATGTCAGTTTATATTGTTAAAATATATGGGACCTTTTTCCCAGTATCAAGATGATAAAATAAGGAGAATATGCTTAATCCTTTCTGGCAATGACACAGGTATTTAAAATGTTCGAACACCAAATGGACACCGGTTGCAAGGCATCAAGTCTGCATTAACCACACATAATTGTGGCTAAACATGCAAACAAACTTGCTCTGATAATATATGGCATTGTCTTTGAAACTGATTGGCTTACACCAGGGACAGCTTTCTTTATGGCCTTGTTTCAACAGTGTTAGACCAGAGAACGCCAAAGGCAAACACTACAATGGCAATGCAAATATAAAAGTATAAATAGCTGGGTTGAGCAGTTAACATAAAGAAGGCTGTCTCCGGTGTAGGCCAATCAGTTTCAGAGACTGCATATATTATCAGGGAATGTTTCTTTGTATGTTTTGCTACAAGTATGTGTGGTTAATGCAATGGCTATCTATTTGGTGTTTGAACGTCTTATAACACCTCTTGTGTCATTGCCAGGAAGGGTGAAGCCTAATCTTATTTAATATGATTAATATTGTTGCGTTTTGTTCTTTGCGTATTTTTGCCTGTGCCTCCTATGCGTTCAGTTCCGTTGTTGCCTTTTCCTCCAGACGTGTTACTTTGATCCTATTCTTGTTCTGTGCTGACGCAACACGGATCTCCCGTGCAAACTAGCTGGGTAACTGGCTAAATGGGTTTTTTCCGTGTATTTAACAAATAAACTTTAAATTGAATTGAATAGGCCCTTAGAGGTCAACACATTTTAGAAGCAAGTCGGCAAGTAAGAATGTTGCCATTTTTTTTACGTCCCATATAACATTAAATCAAATTACCGTTGTAGCGTTTGTTCATGTTTTTATTGTTGGGCAAAAATATATGGACCAATCCGCTCTTTAATTGCACGATTAAAATCTCTCGACTGGGCTGATTTTGGTGGAGCCATTCCTGTTACGGGGGATGTCTGGCATACTGCAAATATTAAACTAATTGGGGCAATTTCATATTAATTACATTTATTGGTAATTACAACCTTAGACATTATGAGAAAAACTTAAATGATGCCACAAAATACATGAAATTAACACTAAATACAAATGATCTAAAAAAATACATTTAATATATACAATTTCTTTTTAACACAAAAAGGGGTCTTTAATTTTGTCTCCCCCCAGGTTTACGTCACGGTGTTGAAGCACGGCGACGCGGCAGTGCTGGACACATTGCTGAAGGTCCGTGTCTCTCAGCCAGTGTCTTGGAGGTTTAGAGGGTTGGTGTGATGGCTTTGCGCAAGGCCTTGTGTCCAGCCATGGGTAGATCATGGTCGATGATGAAATTTCGATTTAACGGAGAGAACGAGACGGAATAATTAATACTGAGGCATACGAGACGGACAGTGCAGTACAAAAATAATTTATTTAAATAAGCGGCCACGAATTTTTACAACTGAGCGAATCACACTGGGTTGGTGCGTGGTTGGGAGGGTGTATAATGGGCATGCCCATTTGACATCCCTTTGCCATACGATTGGCACATAGTGGCGGTGCGTCCAGATAACGTGCATACCTTTTGAATACCACTCAAGTTCTGCGCTGGCAGGTGTGGCAGCTCACCGTCAAGTAGGGCTCTCACTGCTGGTGGTGCAAACATCAAGAGAGGCGATAGTGCCACACTCCCTCTTAATAGCCACCCCATTTTTTTTTTAAATGGGGACACCAATTAACAGTGGCCTCATTACTCCAGGCTGAACAGGCAGTCCTTTGGGGAAAAGTCTGTTTTGCAGCCAAATTATCAGGTTTCTTGAATAAATCAAGTCACTGTGTGCAGCCATGCTCACGTCCGTACAGAAACCCTGGACGTGCTTTTGCGTGTGCATGCAGCACCCGCGCGGGGTTTGGGAACATTTTTGTTAGATGCGTGTTGCATTATCGACATACGATTTGCCAATGTTTAACGTCTGTAGCCATTGGCCTATGAGACACTTGGCAAATGATCATGGGCATGTAACTATGTTGAACTTCTTTTGCACCGAAACATAGCCAAGCATGCTAATCAGAGGAGCGGGGTAAGGATAACAACAAACTAAGGCAGTTCTAAAAAAATTAGTTTTCCATTTGGATTTAGAAGTGCATAGCTCCAGTGGCTTCCTAATATCAGAAGGAAGAACGTTCCAGATGGCCGAAGAAGCGCATATGACAGCGCGCGATGCAGTGACCGTCTTTGTTCAATGGTTAGCCAAAAGGCCGCTGCTGTGAGGATGAATGCAGTTTGCATGATGGTTTATGCCCCTTGACGAAATTAACAAGGTATTGTGGTTCATATGAGCCTTGCTTGCTTGTTCCCACAGATGCACAAGCACACAGATCAGCTGGAGGAGAGGGTGAGGATTGAACGGATTGTTGGTGCCTCCCCCACTGCTGAGTTGCTCCAAAAGGTCCTCAATTTCTCCATTTCGGTAAGGGGGGTGGCTTCCAGCCCACTTGGTGTGTTCCATCGGAAGAGTTGACGTTGACATTCAGATAGGCGTTATTTGAACTATTACGCATCTTTCTGGGATGAATTCTAATTCTTATACAGCCAAAGGGAGATGCGTACATATACTGCCTCTGTCCGCCAAGCTAAATAAATGACACGCCGAAGTGGATCGGCAGGTCACGTGTGGTGGGGTAAAGTGTGAGTAGTGTAACCGCTTCCAAGACGTCTGTCTAGTGTGGAAGAATACGCCAAAATAGCCTCCTAAGAGCTCCCTCTAGTGGAGGCCTTTCTACCTGCAGTGGCGTGAGAAAGCAATTGCAGGGCTGCACATTTATATACAGTAAACCCTTGGATTGCGAGTAACTTGGTCTGCGAGTGTTTTGCAAGACGAGCAAGAATTTTCAATAAGTATAAATTTGTTAAAACGAGCGAGGTCTTGCAATACGAGTAAGTACGTATACGAGTGCTTTGATATACGAGTGCTTTGGATTACAAACACGTTTCCGGAACGAGTTATACTCGCAATCCAAGGTTTTACTGTATATTTTTACAACCAAATCATGGCATTAGAACTGATGCTGGGCACAAATTGTCATCATGTTTTTCACACGTTGTCAAATATAATTGAAAGTGAGAAGAAAGATGGTAAATGAAAAAAGCTTTTTACTTCAAGCGAAAGTGATTTACAGCTCAAATGAGCATGTGTATGCAGTGCTCATCTGCTCTTTACAGGCCTGAGCCAGTGGTGGAAAGTACACACATATTGTAGAAGTAAGTCTCTCCAAAAGACAAACACTGTTGATTTCTCAATAAAGTGATACTGATATTGTGTGGACCCTGCAGAGATGATGGGCTGAGTCTCAACCCCCATCCAGGAGTTGAACTTGCAAGCTTCCAATTGCAAGCCACTCGCTCTACCGCTGAGCCACCTGGCTGGATTCCTGACGTCGTGTGGGTTTTAAGTTTTCTGATGCGGGTCACCCCAAGAAAAGCCCATAGTTCCCGAGGGTAGCTCCCAAGCCTGAGTCTTTGACTGCTTTAGTAGGTGACATTAAGTAGGTCCCAGAGCTTGCAATCCGTACTACTCCGTAGATCTATTTGGTTGTACTGTACAGCCCTGCGATGTGTTTTTTTTAGGTTGGAACAAGTGTCGCTCGGGATGGTGTTCTGGCATTTCGCTTTGCCCGCTGGGAGTCTCTTTAGCAACTGAACAAAATATTCATTAATCACCAACAACTTTGCAAGTGAAAAGGAGTCCAAGTCAAGTTTCTGAATTGAGCTCAATTTCTGAACAAGCTCCCAGCGTGTGGAGCGAAATGTCAGACGCCATTGCAAACGGCACTGAATACAACGCGTGTAATCTAATTGAATACATTTCTTTCCTCCCAACCCACGCGCGCCCTGACCTTGCAGGATGAAGTACGCTCGCAGGACACGGTGTTTGTGATTGGGGGCGTGGCAGGCAGCAGCAAGCTGGGCATGAGCATGGCCTGGCGCTTTGTTCAGGAGAAGTGGGCCGAGTTAAGCAGCCGCTATCAGGGCGGCTTCCTGCTGCCTCGACTCATCAAGGTATCGTACGCCCCCTGGCTTCCAGCTGTGACATCTCGTTATGTTTTCGCAGCGGTTGGGTATCCTTGGCAAGCTCGCAGACCCACACCATTAAGGCATCGCTGTGTCCCCCAGGGCCCAGGCCACCCGATGTTCAAGCTCATTAAGGAATTGTGGGGCTCTTCACCTTGTTGGCCCATGCAGTAAAGCACTGGAGCATATACTTAGCGTAGCGCTTTCCAAGCGGGAGTGTGTTTTGTGAGATTGTCAATGTATGTTGAACTTCTTTCGCACCAAACGTGGCCAACCATACTAACCAGAAGGAAAACAAACTAAACATAACATAATAATATGACATGTGTTTTAGCTGACATTAAGCAATACATTCCAAAATTAATATCAAAATTGTACCTTCATTTGTATTCAGGGAATATATGTATGTCATGTTCATTAGCAACATGAATATTGAATGGGAATATGGCATAATATATTAACTCCAGTATAATTTTGTTGTATCATTTTGAATATATTGCAACAATACAAAACTCTGTTATTCACAAAATAGCAAATAATCAGTATACATTTCAGCATTCTCAATTTTACTGGTTCCTTACCTGGACTTGATTGCATGTTAAATGTTCTCATGGCAGATGACCACCGACAACTTTGCAAGTGAAAAGAAGGCCAACCAAGTCAAGGTGAGTCAATCCTTATGCATAATGTGTACACGTTTAAACGGTAATTACCTTATTGATTTTAGCAGACTTCTGTGGAAAATCGCCACATGTATAAAATCTAGATGGCACATTATGCAAATGAAAGCAAATAATATTTTACAAAGGTTCTCAATCAATTGCCATTTTTTTGATAATCGCTTCAGAAATTGATAATCCGTTCCATAGGTTATGGAATCAATAATTGAACCCAGTTCAGTTTCAGTAACGATCACACCGATTGGCATGTGAGAACGTTCAAACCGCACGGTACGTTCAATACATTTAATACAGTCCACTGCTGGATGAAGGTGTTACCACGTCACATCAACAGTGGGTCTTGTTTGACCATAATTCACCATGCTGTTTTGCTAAACCAATAAGCAAGTGGTGAGTGCACTGTGCCACAAACCCAGTAGTTTTATGCCCGGCCACGGCTAACATCAGCGGTGAGTGACATCCGAACCAATCTTGGGGCTCTCCCCTTCACCAACCTGCACTGACTAGCCATGGTCGTTGCATGCCTAAGCACTGGGCATAATTTGTGACTCGGTCAAAAAACCAACATCGCCTTCGGCACTCTTTATTGACCGACGTTTTTCCCTTTGCGCAGGAGTTTTTTGAAAAAAACCCAACCCCATCGGCCGAGCGCACGGTCCAGCAGTCGTGCGAAAACATCCTCCTTAATGCGGCGTGGCTTAACCGTGACGGGGAAGCCCTGCGAGCATATCTGCAGGGTCGCAAATGTGCACACCTACCACCACCGCCACAACCCCCGTCGCAACCCAGCCACCCCCTTGCCTCGCCACCTGCCACCCCCACCTCTCCCATCGCCCCCACATCCCCAACTAAGAAGAAATAGTGCACACGTACACATTCCCCGGCCAACGCTGTAGCACTACTGCATAAGGTTTTCGCGGTCGTGCTGTGTCGCTCACCGATGTGTTTTTGGGTTTTTATCTGTGTGTTGTTTGGCATGGAAATATGTGGTGCAACCCATTATGTCGAACAACAGGCGCGGTGCACACTAAAACACGTCCGAGAGCTACACAGAAGTTCTGGCCACGTACCCTAAAGTTCCTATGGTATTTGCCTTGATTGTCTCAGTCTTTTGTAAATGTTTTTTTTTTCTCCCCATTTTCACTGCAGTCAATTGAATTGTTAAAAATTCAAGTTAATTTCCTGGTTCACCCACCTTGCTTGTCCATGCTAGGAATTGCAGATTGAACAGGTCTGGCGTTAACAATTTACTCGGTGAACGACGTGTATTTCCAACTCCCTGGGGACTAAGGTATAGGCAGATATGGGAACATATGGAAAATTAGTTGTGCCGTACACAAACAGGTTACTGGATAAACATGAAGTGCAAACTGCTGTAAAACAAAATGAAAATGCTTGACTACTTCTTTAGAAGTAAGCGAATGTATGTGAGAATGAGAACATTACTGAGTGTGAAACTCAGAATTTGGAACATCTATGGAAAAAAATACAATTACACCACGCGCAAATGGTATCACTGGGTGTGGGGAGTTCATTGGGAAAAGTGGAATGCGTGACGGTGGGATATGCAACGTACTTGCTGTGTACACTTTAAATCTCCTTTTGGTGCAGCTTTAAAACTATGGTGGTCTGTGCTTGCAGCTGGGCAAGTGAACCTGGATATTATTTTGAATACTGGAAATGGCATGCAGCAAAGGTCACCTTACCTTTTTTTGTCGATTCACAAATTTAAACACCTATCTTTTGGCCAGTGCCATCTCTCCTGCAACTGAATAGCCATATTTGCGTATATACGCTGTATATAATTATACATATACAGAGTAATTGCCTCTTACCTTGTAAGGTATATAGATAGGTGCACTGTGCAAGAAGCGATTTGGCCAGAAGTGGTAGGTGTGCAAAATTCGTCGCACGAAAACGGGCACGAGAGGGTGTAAATGAGTGTAAGCTCACACGTCACACGAATGTTGAGTGCTGGCAAGCAGCTGCTGCAGGCGAGTGTAAGTGGCGGCTCGAAAGGAAATGCTGATTGCGCACTGATTATTCGTTGAAGCAGAAGCTTCCCGCCTATATATACAGCGAGGGAAAAATAGTATTTGATCCCCTGCTGATTTTGTACGTTTGCCCACTGACAAAGAAATGATCAGTCTATAATTTTAATGGTAGGTTTATTTGAACAGTGAGAGACAATAACAAAAATCCAGAAAAACGCATGTCAAAAATGTTATAAATTGATTTGCATTTTAATGAGGGAAATAAGTATTTGACCTCTCTGCAAAACATGACTTGGTACTTGGTGACAAAACCCTTGTTGCAATCACAGAGGTCAGACGTTTCTTGTAGTTGGCCACCAGGTTTGCACACATCTCAGGAGGGATTTTGTCACACTCTTCTTTGCAGATCTTCTCCAAGTCATTAAGGTTTCGAGGCTGACGTTTGGCAACTCGAACCTTCAGCTCCCTCCACAGATTTTCTATGGGATTAAGGTCTGGAGCCTGGCTAGGCCACTCCAGGACCTTAATGTGCTTCTTCTTGAGCCACTCCTTTGTTGCCTTGGCCGTGTGTTTTGGGTCATTGTCATGCTGGAATACCCATCCACGACCCATTTTCAATGCCCTGGCTGAGGGAAAGAGGTATTCACCCAAGATTTGACGGTACATGGCCCCGTCCATCGTCCCTTTGATGCGGTGAAGTTGTCCTGTCCCCTTAGCAGAAAAACACCCCCAAAGCATAATGTTTCCACCTCCATGTTTGACGGTGGGGATGGTGTTCTTGGGGTCATAGGCAGCATTCCTCCTCCAAACACGGCGAGTTAAGTTGATGCCAAAGAGCTCCATTTTGGTCTCAACTGACCACAACACTTTCACCCAGTTGTCCTTTGAATCATTCAGATGTTAATTGGCAAACTTCAGATGGGCATGTTTACGTGCTTTCTTGAGCAGGGGAACCTTGCGGGCGCTGCAGGATTTCAGTCCTTCAAGGCGTAGTGTTACCAATTGTTTTCTTTGTGACTATGGTCCCAAGCTGCCTTGAGATCATTGGGCTGATTCCTCACCGTTCTCATGATCATTGCAACTCCACGAGGTGAGATCTTGCATGGAGCCCCAGGCCGAGGGAGATTGACAGTTCTTTTGTGTTTCTTCCATTTGCGAATAATCGCACCACCTTCTGACCAAGCTGCTTGGCAATGGTCTTGTAGCCCATTCCAGCCTTGTGTAGGTCTACAATCTTGTCCCTGACATCCTTGGAGAGCTCTTTGGTCTTGGCCATGGTGGAGAGTTTGGAATCTGATTGATTGATTGCTTCTGTGGAAAGGTGTCTTATACAGGTAATAAGCTGAGATTAGGAGCACTCCCTTTAAGAGTGTACTCCTAATCTCAGCTCGTTACCTGTATAAAAGACACCTGGGAGCCAGAAATCTTTCTGATCGAGTGGGGGTCAAATACTTATTTCCCCCTTTAAAATGCAAATCAATTTATAACATTTTTGGCATGCGTTTTTCTGGATTTTTGTTATTTTCTCTCTCTCACTGTTCAAACAAACCTTCCATTAAAATTATAGACTGATCATTTCTTTGTCAGTGGGCAAATGTACAAAATCAGCAGGGGATCAAATACTTTTTTCCCTCACTATGTAGGCCGCTGTACGGAGATAAAAGGTTGCTTGGAGGAGGGAGGGTGCAGTGAATGCTCAAGCAACGAGATTTGTCGACTTTGCAGTTTACGTACATTGGCTTGTTCTGTATTTTAATGAAGAGTTTATAAACATGGAATAGCAACACTTTTTAGAAAATTGGTGACTTTTCTCTTTAAGATTGTGACTTGGAAGGGCATGTTGCACCAAATTTGCGACATTATACAACAGTCTAGATGTAATTTCTCCATGTTTTGCTTGCTTAATGGGTGCAGGGAGGGAAATCGATGGGCTTTCTTTGCAACAACGCCGCGGTAGACGGGAGAAAATATAAATTTACCACTACCAAGGGATGGTGCGAATAGTGATCTTATGCTTTGTCATACCCGATGCAAACTCTGCTTTGCATTTATCCATCCATTGCTTGTGATCAGTATCGCGACAGCAGCTTAACATACAAAGTAATATTATTTCACACACTCATGGTGTTAAAAATGTAATGCATTTAAAGTGGAATTTTGTTATTGGGTTTAAATGAAAGAATAGTGGTTTAACCACATTAAAAAATATATATACACTTATCATATTAGCAGCCTGTTGCTGTTATTTTGACTTTCTTTTGAATCGTGATTGTTCAACATTTGCTATGGTGCATGTTTAAGGGGTTTTTTTTGTAATGGTGATGCCTTTATGGAGAATAATTGAGTAAAATTGCTATGTTCTGAATTATGATGGATTGAAATAAAAATATTAAATTGTCATTTAACAGTCATTTTGTATGTTTATGATATGTATACGGATGCCTTAATGTGTAATCATTACTGTGACCGAACAATGCCATTTAAAAAGATGTTTATAGTTAATAACACATTCCCATAGTATTCGTGTGCTTGTTGATGGTAATAACTACTCAAAAATACCCTTCCTTTTTGGTTTATTCAGCAGGGAGCGTGTAATGCTGCCGTGATGTAATGGTTAACGTTCTGGGTATTCCCACCTCTCTCGAGATGTCTGGTCAACGTGGTAGAGTCGGTCAAATTGCTTCTCCAAGGGCTGCCGAGAGCTCCCTCCGTTGCAGGGCCTTATGCCAGCAGTGGCGTGATGCAAGCCATTGTAGCGTCAGTTTGATTTGCAGGAGGCGTTAAGTGCCGAAGTGTATATGCATTCCGATATTCGTCCACACATATTTGACAAGTGTTAGGTTTGTTTAAAATGGAAGCTGTTGCATGCTACTTGTGGCATGCATAAATGTAATAAAATAAAAAGTGAAATGCACGTTAGGCCATTGGACAGCGCCACATGCTGGTGGTGCGTGGGAAGTGATCCTCATGAAATGTGTCAAGAAAAAGGCCAGTGCGTGCATGAACTGAGTCGACGTCGTAAACACAACAGTGATCATTAGTTTACGAAATATAATAAATGTACCTTGACACTTACGTAATTTATTCAGGAACTGTGAATCACTGCAGGTTGTCTTAAGCAATAACTGCACGTTTAGCATTCTTTAATATTCAGTGTAAATGCGAATGACTGCAACAGCCAAATATTGATCACTTATCAAAGTTTTTGAGAGTAGCAGGATAAACTTCCCGAGGTGTCCTACCCAGTTCGCTTGTCGAGATTTGCAATGTGCATTCTTATTTCATGCCGTGAGCACTTTTTTTTCTAGAAAGTATTGCATTGGGATGATGCTTGGTTATCTCCGTTTATGAGTGGCATGTGGAAGGAAACCAAGAGCACCTGAAGAAATCCCACGCATAACTCATTGAATGCATTGAGACATTGCTTTAATCAGTTTTGTACATTAACGGTTAATGCTTAATTTCAGTGACTCGAAAATCGGGCTGCACAAATCTTCAACGTCCACAGACACGCGACTTGACTGAGTCGTGCCCAGTCGGATCGAGTGAGCAGCTTGCAATCTGACAGTTACTTGTTCAAATCCTGGTTAGGAGCTGACTGGGCCCATCATTCCTCTGGGTTGAACAAATAAGCACCACTTTGTGGGTAGGTCAGCAGTGGTTTTCCTATGTATATAATCTCTTAGGATTGCACTGTAAATAAGAAAAGCACTACCTCAATGCTCATTTGAATAAGAAATCACTTATGACTGTACTTGCAATTGTAATGAAAGCAAATTCAGGAATTTCCATTGTTTCTTTATGCTATTATGAAAACAATGCATGTCCGCAAATTTGACATCTCATAAAATTTCATTCGAAACTCACGCCCACAACATACAGCGCTGTGGTATGCCGTCTGCTGAAATGCCAAGTTAACGGGCAGCATCCAGCGGTGTCGTGTGTTCAAATGAACGCAAAGGCAGTGCTGCAATGTTCCAAAAGACAATGGCAGGATATATGTGAAGCACGCAAGGTGCTCTCCAACTAACCGTACCCTTCAAATCTCCCACGTGCGGTGTACATCGCACGCATCGCTGTGTGAGAAATCCAGTGAGTAATAAATGCAAACCTCTGTCATATGCCCGCAATTATTCACATTTGAAATAATCGACCATCATTCCACGACCGTAATGTGCTTGAAAATGTAAACGACTTAAATGTGACAGCCGCTATTAATCACTGTGTAATTGAAAGCTGCAGAGCAAAATATCACACACTGCATAATGTATTAAGGTTTTATTTAAATATATTGTTTTTTCTCCAGATTTATCTATTGTATTTTGCAATCAACCACCATTCATTATTCACAAAACAAGCAGTCGTTTATACATTTAGCACAAACTGTTCGTTCTACCATGGAGACACTCGTTTTTTTTTGTGACCAGACGCTTTTGAGTCAAAGAAAAATCTCACGTTTACAGTTTACATTTCTTCTGTATTACCCATTTTATATTCACATTGAAAGTGCAACTATAATCATCATCATACTCACGTGTCATCGGTGTCTGCTCATTACAGCCATCGTGCCACCTGAAATAAGCAATGCCGCTATCCTTTTTGGAATATCCCAAGGTCACTCCAAGACAATCCAGTGTTTCCACGACACTATCTTACATTTCTCCACCAAACTGGTTTGCTTATCATTGTGACCATTACAGTATGCAGACCTGGGATTGTGGAGATGTGATCAACCAAACAGTACAACGCCAAAATTAACACTTTAATAATCAAACGGTCGTGATGCTAACGGACTAGCTAATGGCCTTTAATAAATAAAATGAATGAGTACGATATGTTCTCTTTTGCTCTTAATTTCTTTCAAGAGCTTGCTTGATGAACATGAATTTTAAAAAAGCGATCGTAATTTTTTTTAATCATTTACACTATTATCGGAGAATGGAAACATGGAATTTATTAACCACGATGGGACAAGGTTCGACGTTTGGCAATTTATATCTTAAACGCATCGATACCATCTCTATAAAGCTACCATATATCTACGCGGAAATTTATATTTCTGTACTTTCATTAAAATATAACAGGCATCAATACTTGACTTCAAGTTTTCGTGACTGCAGGAATTCATATTCTTTGGGTCTTTCGGTAAAGCCACGTAGATAAAAAATAATAATAATACAAATATCACGACGTTTCGATCGTCATCAGGTGAAAAAAACGTGATATTTTTTAAATTATTTTTTCTATCTACGTGGCTTTACCGAAAGACTCAAAGAATAGGCATCAATACGTTTTTTTTTTACTAATTGACCTCGTTATTGCAGAACATTTTCGCCCAATTTGTTGGATCTACGACCTTGAGATTAATATTTTACACACAACATGGTCAGAGAATAAATAACGGAGTGAGTGGCAGCCCAGGAATGGAACGTCCAGGGGATATTCGGCCCACCAAAAGAGATGGACCGATGAAATTCTGCTTGTCTATAGAGAGGGCTTTGGGCGGGTTACTGTTATTACATCGCAGGTGGTAGCTCTGGAGGAGGCCTTCATCCAGCCGTGGAATTACCGTGGCTGATGACAAAACAATGATTGCTTGTTCGCTGGCAGGATTGTATATGCTATGCACCAAAGTATAACTTGTGGAATTCTCTTTGCCGGTTTTTTTTTTGCACGAGTTAACTAACGCGTCGCGTTATTAACGTTTATCTTAAAGGGATTTTCTATGCCGTTATTATTTGGGCGTTAAGACAACCGCGCACAACCGTATGTATACACCCGCGTGTTCAATGATACCACAAGGTCTTTTAACGTCCGCCCTACACGAGACGGCATACTTTGGTATTCTTCGCTAAAAATTAATGGGACCGGCTGCAGGCATCGAACCATCACGTCACTGCTTAGTGGCTATACAGCCGCCGACTCGGGTACCGCAACATGCTACATTGGTCAGAGAAGGAAATGTAGCCCATGAACTATAAAACTCGGAGGGTGAAGGTGGAGTGCTCTTATTCGCTATTACCCTATTCTCAAGATAAGACACTCCGGAAAAGCAAGACGCGCCCCGAAGCCTGTTCCCCGTGTCGATGCTGTAGTACAAATCTGGGTTTCGCTCGCACTCACCTCACTGGATCTTTATAAGACGCACCCTCTACACCTGCTTTAAATTGGAATAGTAGAAGGGAGGGAGGGGGTGAATGCGCGTCGCGTAATCCGATGAATGCGGTACATTTCACTTTCTAAGTGCAGTGTGATCAGCAAGGCCACCAGATGGCGACATGCAGTCACGTATGGTGAAGCGCTTGGGGAGGAATACGCGAATTATTTGCTTCAAAACAATCTTCACAACTTGCTCGCATAAGTGCTGCAATCAATTCGAATTTGTCGTTAAACCAGGCAATTGACACGCTATACAATGCCGTATTGTAGTCTACATTCGTGTTTTACTGAAAGCGTAAGCTTCATTTTTAAAATTCTTGGTTCTTTCGGTAAACTCACATAGAAAATAAAAAATATAAAAATAAAAGCAAAAAAAACTTTTATTTAAATTTTATTTTTATTTTCTATCTACGTGACTTTACCGAAAGAACCAAAGAATATGAATTCCTGCAGTCACGAAAGTTTTAAGTCAAAACTTTATTTTAATGTTTGTACTGCACTGATTTCTATCTTTTTTTTGCAAAACGTTTCTTATAATTATAATAATGTTGTGCATTTCTTTCGGTTAATATTTTGACCCTGTACGCCGCTGTTTTCACGACAATTCAACCCGCATTGTTTGGCGAGCAAATTCCCCCTTGAATCGAGATTGGTTTTTAATACAGATTTAAGATTTCGTGTGGCTCTTCTAAACGTTGAGAACTCATCTACTCTATACAGGGGGGGGGGGGGGGGGGGGGGGGGGGGGGGAGTGCGTCTTATAATCCGGATAATACAGTTGTATATATATAACACATTGGCAGCATCACTGATGTCAGAATGCCAAGTTTTGGTAAAATTGTGCGACTCAAAACGCTAAACATTATATCCTCCGACTTGTTCCTATTGCTTTATTGTTTCAATACCAGTTAGCACAACTTAACACAACTGCGCGCATTCTATGATACGAATACAACTTCACAGGGCATCAATGCATGCATTCTATTGTACTGATGAAGGGGGGAGAGCATTGACGGAGTGATTGGCGGAAAACGTTAAATCATTGGTTACCCGAGTTGGATTCCTGGTCATGACTAACATCAGCAGTGAGTGACATCTGAACCAGTCCTGTCCCCCCCCCCCCCCCCCCATTCCTTCATTAATCGCCACTGAAGAACAGCATCGTCACATAGAAATACCCCATGACTGATCAGGCATTGGAGGGTGGCAGTCCATCCAGTAGTGGCTTTCAAAAAGGGTTGCACACACTGCAGTCGTTTGATGCAAACTTTAATTCAATATCTTGTTCTCAGTTGTTGTTTACTCAAAAGATCAGATGTTCAGTGCATTCGTATTACCATCATAGGCAATGACAAACATCCTTCAATGCTGTGCAATTTTATTTTTTTCCCCATTGACACCGAGTAAATTATCTATTTCCAGGTTACACTTACCATTCATTGGTGAGCTGCCACTGCAAATATTTATTGAGCAACTGACGTGATTAAAGGCAACAACAAAACCCCCTACAAGCACAAATGCAAACATCCACGGAATATATAAGTACCGTTACCCTGAAGCTGTCAGCCCGCACAAGTCACACTTGTCGTCAGAATCCCAAGTGGAAATTACTCATGATCGGCGGTGTGATTGTTGAAGCAAAAACCTTGGTGGTGCATTTGATTTCCATCGCTATACAACGGAAATATAAGTACACGTGTACTAATTAAAGCAAGCAGCTCAATTCACTGTGTACGGTTTGTGGGGAAGAAAAAAATGTGTGTTGCAATGTGGAAATCAAATTCATATCGCTCGTTATTCTCAACAATACTTGCACCGGTGTTAGTCGTGTATGTTTGATGCACTATTCCTCTGTGCACGGAATCTCAAACACAGTACGTGTTGACCAATTCGTCTCTCGAGACTTTGAAGGGAGCAGAGTTTTGTCCAAATTTGCCCCCCCCCCAATATTTTACAGTAATCTAGAAAGCTTCGATCCACAATGGTTGATTCCTTTTTCGTCTTGACTTTCACTCCGTGATGATAATTCATCCCACCATCCTCTCCCTCCCCCCTCCTGTAATGATCCTATATTTTACAAGAACTTCTCCTTCTTTTATTTATTTATTCCCGTATTTTCCCATCCACTGGCTCACAACCGGAGAATACCTTGATTACAATGCGTGTGCATCGGCCTTTCACAAGGATGCGTCGCTGTCTGTAATGTCATAGAAAATATAAAATGTAAGAAAAAAATCGAAATACTTCGCAAGAGTGGATTAGTTGCCCGCGTTAGAACTCCCTTAAACCTCCGTACACCAGGACACGGAGCCGAGTCGTCATCCTTGCGCAGCTACCCCACGAGGGAGCCAAAAGTTTATCGGAGTCTTCAGACGCAGTCACAATCGCGGTGGCGGAGAGAGGGGGGGGGGGGCATGTAAACGAGAGACTGAGTGCCACTCTCTCTCTCGTCCTCGAGTCGTTTACTGCAAATTTTGTAATGAGAGCTGCCCGCGTGCGAGTGTGTACAACAAAGGACGAATTAAAATATCATTTCCCAGGCGTGGTGGAGTCAAAAGGAACCATCGTTTTAAATGTTAATTGTCTTAATATACATTATTATTATTATTATTGCACTGTGGACCGTTGCGGTGGCATGCCGTTGGCTTGTTTTATGCACAGCGACGAAGTTAATGGTTGGTGTATGATCACCTAAACCACACCTATAAGCATGGCACAACGACAGTGACTTCCAATTCCGTTCAAGGTTCATAGCCACTGCCCTGGTGTGTTACACGTCAGTGCAAATGTACTCCCTGCATGACACCAAAGCAAGCCGCGCAAAGCTAAGTCTTTCATATATATATATTTATTTCGTGTTAAAACATCACCAGGAAAAGCGTTGGTGGAATCTTCAAGGTTCTGCTTTGGGATTTTTGGACAAATCCTTTTTGGAGCATTTTTGTTGGTGTTGTTCTTCTTGTAAGAGGAAACTTGAGTGCCTGGAGAAAAAATCTCTGCTACATTGTTCACCACGTTACGGAGCAGGTGAGTGTCATCCGCATCACGTTCCCGGATAGAACCATCTAGACGGAACACACAATCTTGGTAGGATGCGTCTGCAGGCGTCCCATGTTGCTGGATTAAAGGGAGGTGCCATCTCATTCGGCGGACATACCTCAAAGGGGCAATCCTTACAGCTAAGCCATCCAGTCACGTGGATAGATAGGCCATTACAAGTCAACGATAAGCCAGGCTCCTCCTGCTGCTGGCACGCGCCTCCTCATTCGCGGTCGTTAAGCAGTGGCGTAATTTCCACATCACGAACATCAGAACCTTCCACCCCACCGCCCCCTCCCCCACCTTTTGAACAACCACAGTTTAACTCTTTCCCACCCCCAGCCTCGTGCGGCGTTCGCCAGACGACGCCTTCAAATCTTCACCGTTAAAGCACCGTCGCCCGTCCGCTACGGCGTTCGCCACGCGTAGGCAGGCCGAGACGGAACGTCGGTCCAAAGGAGCGCAGAGCGGAGCGCGCTTAGGAACAGGTAGGCGCAGGCCAGCAGTGCCGGGCGAGCTTGCCTCGCGCCCGCAGAATTGTCGACGATTCGATGCTTCGACGACCTGGGACCGTTGCAGAGGGGCGTGTCGCAGCAGCTGATGCACACGGAGCGCACTCGGCCCGGCATGCAGAACGATTGGTAGCCGGCCGAGGCGATGTGACACGCGGCCGATGATGCGCACGACTTGCGGTAGAAGGTGCCTGCAACGCAACGCACGTTCCGAATGTCAGCCCAAAATGTGACGACTTCATAGCAAAATGTTGCACTTGACTGCTCACCACTACTGGCCCCCAGCCCCCCCCCCCCCCCACCAACAACGTGGCGTGCTCTGCCATGTATTGCGATGTGTGCGCGTGTGGTACGTGGTGTGGGGGGGGGGGGGGGGGTGGTTAGCACGCAGTTGACTTGAGTTCGATCCCTCGATCGTGGCCCACAGTGGTGAATATCTGAAACCGGTTCTGGCCCTCCCCATCGGACGGCTCGGGCTTAAATGAGTACCTGGTGGAAATTTGGAATTGTCAGCGCTTGCGGAAGACAAAGGCGGCCGGGCGTGGTGTCGGTCGCCCACCCCCTCGTGCGCCCGTGTCGGCCCTCGTAGGCACTCGCGAACAGCACTTGTCCCTACAGTCTGTTACATTCTAACGTGGGGCATCTTTGTCTTTGTGTACATAAGTGGGGAGCGGTGGTGCAGTGGTGAGCTCATTGCGCTACGAAATCACGAACTTGAGTTTCGAATCCCGCTTCATCGCCAACAGTGGAGAATATCTGTACCGGTTCTAGGCCTCCCCCCTACGTCGACTCACTGGGGAGACAAAGGCGGCCGGGCGTGGTGATGGCCATTCCACCCTCTCGTGTCCCCTGCCGACCTTCACAGTACTTGTCCCCGCAGTGTTATAAGGCTATCCGGGAGATCTTTATGTTTGTTTCCTAGCTAGGTACATACTTCATATGGGTTTATATTCTTGGGTCTTTCGGTTAAGTCACGTAGAAAGGTTCAAAGCAGACGACCGCTTGTGTTGCGTTCGAAACGTCGTAGTTTTTTGTTATTTATTTGTTATTTTTTTTGAACCTATCTACGTGACTTTACCGAAAGACCCAGGAATATGAATTCCTGCATTCACGAAAGCTTTAAGGCAAGACACAGGGGGTTTTTTTTTCAGGTATAATCCCATTTAGGTATGACGACTTCACAGCAAAATGTTGCACTTTGCTGGAGTAAATAGTCTCACATGGAGGGGGAGGGAGGAACCTGCGGATGACGTTAAGATAATATAATCATCTTAACGTTGTATAGGGAACGGGACATTAAAAAAATATCTATCCATTTCAGAACGAGGAACAGTGTTGTAAAATGCGCTTCTATCGGACGTAATATTCCTGAAAAAAGGTCCAGTTTGTGACATTGAATTCAATCGCAAATAGCGACGTTTTGTTTCATGTTGTTGTTGACGCAATTGACAGCAAGAGCTCATCTGCTAAAACGGACAATCGCATTCATCCGCCGAACCTTATGCTGTCCCCGTCGTGTCGTCATCCACCCGGATCTCTCGCGGAGCGACGCAACCCACATTGGGCGTTCGAGAAAAGCCCTCGGGAGCGGATAACCGCAGAGCTATATTCTGAGAAACTCTTCATCAAGGGACCTCGAATCCACAGTTGCCGAGGGTGGCACTCTCCCAACCGCTCTGCATATCACAGGCATCTCAACAATGTTCGCATTGGATTGCACGATGGGCGCGTGACGAATGTCTAAACTCACTTCGCTCAGCAATCAAATGGCCCCGAGATCATATCTCAGAATAATGTTTCACGGATGTGGCCCGAAACTGTCGCCAGCCCTCGGCTATTATATAATCAACTGTCGCCAGCTCTCGGCCATGATATAATGCAACAGACAAGCAAAGAGTGAGCCTTTGAATGAAGACGTTCCGTTATAGACAGCCTGCATATTTCTATCCGTCCAATGCTCGGTCGCGCTTGTGCCGTTAAATGCAAGCCGTTCGGTCGCTTGATTGCTTTCGCTAACAGCAGCTAACCAATGCTTAATGCACGCAAAGTCGTTACTCTTGAGTTTTTTGTTTGAACAAAAAAAAGAACCGCTACATCTGCGCGTGTGGCACGCGCCCCTTCAGTGGGTCTCGAGAGGGCCCGAGACTAATGTATGCAAATGCGGCCCCTTTTTTTTACCTCCCGATTTTTCTCGTCTTCAGCGAATTAGAAGGGTCAAGAAACGGTCACGCGCAAGCATTGCGAGGGCAGACTCGGCACCCTAAATATATAGCCATCCTGATCGCCGCGCAACGCAGAAGGGAATGATGCTCTTTTGCGTCTCTTTTCGTTGAAGCAACGTTGGTAAATGCTTCACGCAACAACAAAGGCACACGATGATTTACAGGAAACATTTGGACCTCGACGATGAATGAACCGGCACTGCTGATACGCATACTGCGCGGTCGATTTGAGACCGCGTTGGAAATGTGAAACGTTAACGCGCACTGTGAGACGGCTTGTGGGGTTCATGCCGCCACGCCTCAGACGCGGGGTCGTGGTATTTGCTCCGCTGCTAATAAATTAACTGTTTAACAAAAAACATATTTACTTTTTGTTCCTGGGTAGTAAGTGTTATTTCCTAATTGCTAATGCCTCGAAAGTACAGAAAATGGCTATTATTCCCCATAAACTATGCTTTTGTGACTAGGACATTGATATTTTGAAATGTACCTACTTTCAATGAGAAAACGTGCGCATTTTTGTCATTCCTTCACATAAAGTCCTGGTCACAAAAGCAGAGTGTGTGGGGAATAATAGCCATTGTCTATACTTTTGAGACATAAGCAATTCGGAGCTTCTCTCGTGCACGCCGTGGAAGTAACAGCGAACAGCTCCTTAGATCAGCTCCACGTGCCGGGAGCTTATTCAGCAACTGAACCGTTTCGCTCCGCAAGCTCCCGGGCTTGCGGAGCGAAACGTCGGGCATTGTGCCGGACAGCAGCAGCAACGACGACGACCACGACGCCACGTGGTGCAAACTCAAGGACTTGTCGGAGATGAACGCAGCACCGAGGCAGTGCGGTTGTCAGGGCCGTCCGCAGGGAGAGAAGGGGGTTGTGGTTGGTTGCAGGGCCCGGGATAAATCACATCGCGTGGGGGGGCCCCGACGCCTTCAAAACAATATGGGAAGTACTGCAGTGATGTCGAAGGGTGCTCCATCCCCCACCTCCACCAAAGCGCAGGGCCCGAGGCGGTCGCCCCACGTACCCCGAGGGACGGCTCCGACAGAAGTAGTTTATTAGAGCGTCTTGGAAAGATACGGATCCTGGCGAACTGCAACCGCTCGCCTATGTTTACGAGCGTTTAATCAACTAAAGTAGCATTTATATTCTTGGTTCTTTCGGTAAAGTCACGTAGAAGGGAAACAATAAAATAGTAAAAATATAAAACAATACAATTCTCACGACGTTTCGACTGCAACACAAGCAATCATCATCAGGTGTGAAAACCACAGCAAGAAAATTTGAAAAAAGTGGCGGTTATTTTTAACGTTGAAAAAATAAAATTTGAAAAAAGTGGCGGTTTTTTTAACGTTGAAAAAATAAAATTTGAAAAAAGTGGCGGTTTTTTTAACGTTAAAAAACCGCCACTTTTTTCAAAAATTATTGCTGTGGTTTTCACACCTGATGCTGATTGCTTGTGTTGCAGTCGAAACGTCGTGAGAATTTTATTGTTTTATATATTTATTAGTTTATTGTTTCCCTTCTACGTGAATTTACCGGAAGAACCAAGAATATGAATACCTGCAGTCACGAAAGCTTTAAATCAAAATTTAAAGTAGTATTGTTATGTTCTTCAGCAGTGGCAGTCAGCATAATGGGAGCCAGGGTACACGAGGATCATCTGTTGGAAACCTTCCAAAACGAAAAACGTTTTTTTTTTTTACATTTGTACATAGAGACGTGATTTCAATGGACATTCTAGATTTGAATGGACATTTTCTCCCGTAGCTTTGTAAATGTTTTCTTGTCTCTGAGAGGAAGAAGAACCCCCCCCCCCCCCCCAAATTGCTATGTGTCTCTGTGGCATGCGAAACGTTGCTGCCAGGGAAGTTTAATCGCGAACAGACAGAGACTCTTTGCCAACCTGCAACGCAGTATCAACGGGGCGTCCACGCGTGTGCGTTCTCATTATTGAAGAGACACGCGCAAGTAAGCACCCCTGCACCAATGGTAGTCTTGCCAATGAGAGTTTGGTATTCTCATGCATCTGACGGAAGAGACCTCGCTCCAGCCGAGTGTAAACAAAACATCGGCGTTTGGGGACTCGTGCGTACAAGTGTGCCGCATTGGATTGCTTTTTTTTAGTATGTGTAAGACTTGCTTAAGCGGGTATTGTAATTTTTCACGCTTACATGTGCATGAAGCCCGCATATAACAGGGAGCCGAATGTTTGTTAATAATGTCAGGGAATGCGACACCTTTGCTTCGCTGGTGCAGGAAGAATTACCTCGGTTTTTTACACTGTAATTGAAACAGAAGGGATGGATGGGGCGGATGATAAAGAGTGGAGTGGGCTGTAGTGGGGATTGCGTTTAGGAAGCGGTAGTGCTTCAGTTAGCGCAATGCGCTACAAACCCGGTCACCCGAGTTTGATTCCGGCTCACGGCCAACACCGGTGACGATTTTATCTGACTCGTTCCTGGGCCTCCTCTAGGTCGACTCAGTTTCAAATGAGTGTCTGGTGCGGTGTGTAAACATCTCCACTGGGGAGGCAAAGGCGGACCGGCGTGGTACTGGCCACCCACTCCTTCGTGTGCCGTGCCGGCCTTCATAGGTGCTCGCTAACAGCACTTGCACCAACAGTCTATTAAGGCTATACGGGGGAATTTGCACTGTGGATCCTCATGTGCAGCGTTACATTTGATGTTTTATTACTTTATTATATTTCATCACGTAAAAAAAAGTTGTTCAAGAGTTGAACATTTTGGGGACTGAAACGTAGCTCAGCTTTTAACATGGGGGGGGAGTGAGTCAATGGCAAAACGACGTTCGATCGTTTAATGGGTTTTCATTTACCGAACAATGTTTTCGTGCTCGTTAAACGAGACACGCCTGTAAAAAAAAATCCATCCTTTTCGTCTCGAATCAAATCTAATGTCATTTATTCCAATCGTGGGCCCGCTGGATCTCACTGCCCGCCACGAGAT